CTTTGTGGCCCTTCTCTGAACCTGAATAACTCTATATCTGTTTTATTTTCGGGGCATTGGTCTTTGACGCAGTACTCCAGGTGGGTCCTCATGAGGACAGACTAGAGGGGTGTAGTCACTTTCCCTGCCCAGTCCTCTTTTGGTGTGGCCTGAAAGACTGAGCCTGGGCCAGAGGCTCATGTCCAGCTTTTTGTCTGCCGGATTCCCAGGTTCTTCCCCACAGGGCTGCTCTCAATCTGTTCTTCTTCCAGTCTGTACTCATGTCTGGGGCTGCCCCCAGTAAGATGCAGCACTTTGCACTTCACTTAGTTTAACTTCCTTGCATTCACGTAGAATTGCTTCTTAAGGCTGTTTGGTTCCGTCTGGGTGGCATCCTTTCCTTCTGTTTAGCGACTGCATCACTCAGCTGGGTGTCATCAGCAAACTTGCTGAGGGTGCACTCAATCCCATCATCTGTGTCACTGATAAAGATGTTACAGGGCATCAGCATGAATCAGCAGGATCCCTGATGGACATCACTAGTCACTGGCCTCCACCTGCCCATGGAGCCATTGACCTCTGGCTATGAACCTCAAGCTATGATCATCCAACAATTGCTTCTCCATCCAGTTTCAAATCTATATTCTTCCAACTCAGAGATGAGTATGTATGTGGGACTGTGTCAAAAGTCTTGCGGAAGTCCACAGTGATGGCATCAGTTGTTCTTCTTTTGTCCATTGATACTGTTACTCTCTTGTAGAAGGCCGCCAAGCAGAATCGTCTGCAGTGAAACCATGTCATCTGTTACAGATCACTTCTTCACCTTGTGTATGCCTTAATATGTGCTCTTGTTCATTCAGAGCCCTGGGATGCATTGTCATGTGGCCCCACAGACATAGGCACATTCAGTCTCATCAGCCAGCCTGAAATTTTTTTACAGTGACAATGGTTGTGTTCCCCCAGTCCATGCTTAGAGGTTCAGGTACATGAGAGGCATGGGAAGCTTGGTCCTCAGTGAAGTCTGAGGCAAAGAACTGGTTGAGTATCTGAGTGTTCTCCATGTCTGTTGTTGCCAGTTCTCTCTGGTCATTTATCAGAGAGGGTACACTGTCCTTGGTCTTTCTCTTCTGACCGATGTACTTGTGGAATCCATTATTGGTATTTTTCACATCCTTCACCAAGTTCGGTTCCATACTCACCTTGGCTTTCATTATCCCATTTCTGCATGTGTGGATGGCACTGCTGTGTTCTTCCCAGGCCACCCTGCTTCCACTGTCTATATATTTCCCTCTTTTTCCTCATTTTGACCAGTAGTCTTTGCTCAATCTTGCTGGTTTCCTACTTCCTCTACCTGATTTCTTTTTCTGAGAGATGGTTAGCTGTTGTGCTGGTCAGAAATCTTAAGCAACTGCCAGCTCTGTTCCATTTCTAAATCCATCCTCCCTAAGGAGAATTTCCCTGCAGACCCCATCCAGTAATTCCTCAAACAGCCTGAAGTTTCCTCTTCTGAAGTTCAGGGTCCTAACTCTGCTCTTTGTCATGCTTGCATTCCTCAAGATCATGAACTTGACCAGGGCATGGTAGCTGCAGCCCAGGATGCCTTCAGCCTTAACCTCTTTTGATGTTTTCCTCTGCACTGGTGAACACCAGATCTAGTAATGCTTCACCTCTGGTGGATCTGTCCAATACCTGGTCCAGGAATTTATTCCCATTGGATTCTGGGAGTCTTCTGGATTGTTTGTAGCTCAGTGTTGTTTTCTCAGCACATGTCTGAGAGACTGAAATCCCCCCATCAGGATGAGAGCCCGTGAGCTCAGTGCTTCTTGCAGCTGAAGTAACAGCCTTGTCAATAGGCTCCACTTGATCAACCAGCTTGTAGTAGAGCCTGACTGCTAGATGTCTTTTATTGATTGGGTTCCTAATTTTAGCTCACAAGTTCTCAACCTGGTCACAGCTGTTTCTCAGTGACAGCCTTTTGCAATCTGTCTACTTCACACAGAAGGCAACTGTACTTTCTCTTTGTGGAACTATTAACAAATGCTCAGATTGATCCTGTTCAAATGTTGATTTCAAATCAAAATAATATTAAAAGTAGCGATGTTGGATTTTGTTACTCATTACTCAGGTACCTAGAAGCTGGGCTACATGTTTGGAGAAGTTTTGATGGAGTTGGGTAAAGGCTGTTTTTAAAGATTTGATACAGAAGTTAGATCTTTATTTGTAAAGTGCATAATGATGGAACCAGGAGACTTGAATGCTTCATACAACAGATAACTCAGAGCAGTTCCTTTCTAAGTGGCAGAGGTTAGCACTGCTCACTTGTCCCTAGGCATTAACAGAACAAATGGTTGGAAAACTGAACATTACATTTGTAGTAGTCTGTCCCAGTGCAGTAATATTTTGCCTACTGTCCTGTTGCATTTCCTTCAGGCTTTTTGACTGTCTGATCCTTTGTGTTCTAAAAAAAGTATGTAAAATCAGTGTGTTACTTTTCTGTAAGTTTTAATACATACATTTTTCAAAATATTCTGTTTTCTGACAGCGGTTGTTATCCAATGAGGAAGAAAAGAACAAAGCTATCATTCAGGAAGTTTGTTTTATGGTATCCTTTTCTGAACGTATTTAAATGTTCTGATTTAATTATCAAACATTTCTAAGAGACTGTCCACAGATTTCTACCATGCCTTACGCTGCTTAGGAGTACTGACATTTAAGGAAGACAAGAGTTTCGGTCTGGGATGAACCTGATGATGACATTCCAGCAAGCTCAGTTCCTCAAACTGCAGAAATTTAATGTGTGCAGGTGGTTTTAGTAGCTGCTGTAGACTTTGTCATGCACTTTGTCTACCAGAAAATAATGTTTCTCATTAGGGCTTTATTTAAAATGATATTCAAATCTTAATGAGACTTCTCTCATATGCACTGGATTTACTGGCTGTTTTTTTTTTTGTGGGGGGGGGGGGGGTGCGGGTAAACAAAATGTTGCTTTTACTGTCAGTGTAATATAGTTTCTGCCTCCGATACACTTGGTTTTAAAAATAGTACTAAGTATCTGGAAAGGAATTTTGGAAGAGTTATATGCAGCAGAAAGCAGAAGCTGTACTGTCAGTGTGTTTGACAGTTTTCACTCTGTGATGTCAACTAGTAATGTGTCATGTTATCTCGTGTTTTAATGTCAAAATAACGCTTTCAGTGTTTGGCTTTAAGTAAAGTCAGGACTTGCACCCCAGCATCTACTCTAAGACCCTTTGTTTGTCTCAAGAGTGATTGAATAACTGTATTAATGCTCCTGTTTTTTGGCTACCACTGAGTATTCAATTGCAATAGGATTAGCAAGCAAAACCACTGATCTTAAGCTGTTCAGATGTTTTTGTGTGGTTATCAGTATTTATCAAAACCTTAAACAGGGTACATTCAAGTACTGAATATCCTAATTCTGTGTGTTTTCTAGCTGCTCTGATTACATCTTTCCAGGAATAACTTATAATGCTTTGGATGTCTTTTCACAGCTTACTTGATCATGTTGTGTAAATATTTTAATAGGGCTAACAGTTGCTCGCTTTGAGATACAACTGAAATGAAAGTACTTCCTACAGCTCTGAGCAGAGAGATCTGAGAAGAAACATGATTTAAAAAAAAAAAAAAAAAAAAGATTAAGAACTAAAAACATTTGTGTTCATTCTAAATGGTGAATTCATCTTGTCCTTTGTTTTACACGTTTGTTGCTCTTAGGTCATCTTTTTTTCTTTTTTCTAGATTTGGTGAATGCAGCTTGTAAACACTGTTTGTCATATGGGTGTAGTTCTCAGTGTTTGGCTAATGTAGTGCACATAGGACCAACCCATATGGGCATGATGTGTGTAAACCTCCCTTGAGCTCACTCATACGTTTTTTTTCCCTTTACCATACATTAAAAACTGATAATTTAAATGTTTGAGCAACTAGTGAAAAAATGATGAAGGTTGTAGTTTGAATTAAGATTCCTTTTTTTTTTTTTTTTTTTTTTGAGCTTTTTTTATTAGTGAAGTTTATTGTGCTGTCTTTGAATTAAGCATTGTGAAGTTATGAGGGCTGCTCTGGAAGTAATGCTTCCTATTGCGTGCTGTGGGTCCGTGGCATCAGAAGTGGCTGTTAGCAATGTGACAGTAGAACTTTCTCTCTGATGTTCCATTAGATGTCATTGCTGTGTGACAGCTGGTAAGAGGGGCAGTCTGACAAGAGAGTGTGGATGGAGTGGTATCTTTGAATTTCTTGAGGAAAAAGGGGTACCTGCTGACATTCATCAATGCTTGCTGAATGTTTATGGAGACCAAACATTGGATGTCATGCAGTGAAGCTTTGGTGGTGGTGTGTTTTGGCAGGGGGCCATCTCTACTGGTGCAGATTTTTGCAATGTGGCATGCAAGCTCGTTTTTATTGCTGGCATGTGATGACTAATGGTGATGACTTCTGAGAAATTATTTTGTAGCTGAGAATTTGCTCTGTGAAATATTTTTATTGTGCTCTTTGTTGCCACTTCCATTGAAATAAACAGGAGGCATAACTTTGGGAGCAACTTTCTGTGAAAAGGCAGGGTTTGATGCAATAGGTCTTTCTAGATCAGTTAGCTAGAGCAGCAGTGTTTCTGACCCATGTGTTGATGTCTTACAGTCATTGTTGAAAAGAAAAAGAAATACTTAGATGTGTTACAAAGTCTAGTTTCCTTGCAGCCTTAATCACAAGGGTATTTTTGAAATGTTTTATTTTAACTTCTTGCATGTTACCTTAGTGGCTTGCCTTGAAGTCTGTTTCTGCAGTTGGACATGAATTTACTTGTTCTGCTGAGTACTGTAAGTCCAGCTATAATGATATCTGGGTTGAGCTAACATTTCAAATGAGTTGCCTGTGAACTGCTGTATACAAAACTATCTTGGCAGTTTTCTTCCTTGAACACTTTGTCTCTAGAAAAAACTTTCAGGTCACCCCAACATTGTCCAGTTCTGCTCTGCTGCATCTATAGGGAAAGAAGAATCAGACACAGGACAAGGAGAGTTCCTTCTGCTTACAGAATTGTGTAAAGGTAAATATTATTTCTTTTCTTAGCACTGCATGTTGTTTTTTAAAGCTGTTTTTCACAGGTTACTTCAGAGCATGGAAGTTCTGAAAACCCTCTTAAAGTTAATCAGATAAAACTAGTGTTCACCTTCATAACTGGACCATTATGTTCTTTCAGGGAATTAAATTTTATCATAAATATGTAATAACTGTGAACGTCTTAGTATTTGAGACTAGTCATGGAAGGGACAGCAGGAGAGTATTTCCTGGGAGTGTTGTTTTCTTTGGCAGCCTTCATGGGTTTGTCACTTTCAGAATATCTGTCTACAACTCAATACTTTAAGTCTTCTTTGTTGATGAGAGTTTCTCTATACGTGACAGGCTTTCAGGATGTATGGTATTTTGCATGTGCTTATGTGAATTTGTTTGATTTTTCTCCAGGACAACTGGTGGAATTCTTAAAGAAAGTGGAACCCAAAGGGCCAATCTCCTGTGACACAGTTCTGAAGATCTTTTATCAGACCTGCCGAGCAGTGCAGCATATGCATAAACAGAAGCCACCTATTATCCATAGAGATTTAAAGGTATTTAAATACAGAGTTTTTAAATAGCAGAAAGAGCCTGTAAAGCTGGTGTTTAGGCTGTTGACTGACTACAGTGGGCAATCTTGAAAGTATATATATGTGCATGTGTGTGCATATAGTGTTTAGATGGATTGTGTTGCTGACATTACTGTATAATGAAGATCTTCACCAAAATACTTTAATCTTTTTAAGCATTTTTTCTTGTGTATGTGGTGTTAGTACGTATTGTACTTAACCTAAATAAGATGACAGATGTCACACAACATGGTTTGCTGATGAAGTTGAACTAGAGGTGGTTTTTTGATTAAAAAGTAACTAGAGTTATAGTATGATTTGTAGTTTTGCTAAGGAAAATTGCTCAGTGCTGGCAAGCAGTTTTGTAGGTAATCTTAAGTAAGAGATTTTAACCAAGTCTGCATTAAACTTCTTTGGTAATACTTTGTAGAATAAAATTTTGTATACTTTGCTGAAGTCTTTTATGTCTATGAACAGAAAAGGTATCTCTTTTCTCTCTAAAAGTATTATTAGTAGTTACTAATAAATATGAATTTTTTTACCTCTGTGAGAAAAATGCTTTTTTTATCTCAACTGTTTTATAGCTGAGCCAGTGCTATGTTCGACCAGTTTTTTTAATCAAGAGATGATCTTGTCAGATATAAAATAGAAAGAGGCAACAGTTTTATTTCCTGTTGGCTTTGTATTAGAGGCTGTAGAGCAAGAGGAAATGATAGATGTTGGGACCTTAATTAGACCCAAGTTAGTTGATAGTTGGGCAAGGACCTGTATAATCAAGTATCAGATAGAGTTCACTTAGCTATGCTGTGTTTTCTGGAAAGCAGTCAGCAGCATAAAAAAAAATTGTAGATCAAAGTTTTGACCTTACTTTCAAATGAGGTCTGTGATGGCAGTGTGTTTTTTAGGAGACAAGCTGGAATCCAAGAAGGTTTTCTAGATTATTTGGACCAAAAGTATTAGGGTATTAGTGAAGTTTCTGCAGTACAGCTTAAAGTTCAACTTCGTATAGAAATGTCACTTTCTATGTTCTTGGTGTTCTTCTCTTGTTTATCCATTCATTTTTGCCTGAATACCTTTGCACATAGAATGGGTGTGTACAGCATTGTAAAAATCCAGGTAGTTTCTGCTTTGGAAAAATTCCAAGCTAGTGTGATTGATAAGCTGTCAGTGTTTATCTGATATTTCAATTATCACAACTTGAACTTTACAGCTAGTCTGTGTGGCAGAGACCATAATAACCAGCTGAAATATTCTAAATTACTAGCAAACTTCAAAGCACAGAACAAGACATAAGCTCACAAAAGCCTGAATTTGTTTTTTTAATTTTTTTCCTTCGGTGATACTATAACTCCTTCTATTATTTAAGGTATGTTTGATATTGAATCACAGAATCAAGGAATGGTTTGAATTGGAAGAGAACTTAACGATCTTCTAATTTTGACCTCACTGTCTTGGGCAGGGATACCTTTTGGTAGATCACGTTGCTCAAAGCACCATCCAATCTGCCCCTGTACACCCCCTGAGTATGAGGCATCCACAGCTACTCTGGGCAGCCTGTGCCAGTGCTTCACCATTCCCTGAGTAAAGAATTTCTTCCTAACATTTCATCTAAATCTCCATCTTTTAGTTTGAAGCCATTACCTCTTGTCATCGCCTGCCCTTCATATTGTGCAGAGAAGCAAGGAAATAGGGCTTGGGTGAACCTGATGAGGTTCAACACGGCAAAGTGCAAGGTTTTGCATTTGGGCCGGAAGAACCCCAGGCACCTGTACAGGCTGGGAGGAGTGGTCCTTGAGAGCAGCTCAGCAGAGAGGGACCTGGGGGTCCTGATGGACGAGAGACTGAACATGAGCCAGCAGTGCGCTCTGGCAGCTCGAAAGGCAAATGGGATCCTGGGCTCCATCAGGAGAGGGGTGGCCAGCAGGGACAGGGAGGTGATTGTCCCTCTCTACTCGGCTCTTGTGAGGCCCCATCTGGAGTACTGTGTCCAGGTGTGAAGCCCTCAGTACAAGAAAGACATAGAGATTTTGGAAAGGGTCCAGAGGAGGGCAACTAAGATGATCAGGGGGCTGGAGCACCTCCCCTATGAGGACAGGCTGAGGGAGTTGGGCTTGTTCAGCCTGGAGAAGAGAAGGCTGCAGGGTGACCTCATTGCAGCCTATCAATACCTGAAGGGAACCTACACCCAGGAGGGGAGTAAACTCTTCAAAAGGGCTGATAACTGCAGGACTAGGCGAAATGGATCCAAGTTGAGGGAGGGAAGATTTAGGTTGGATGTTAGGGGGAAGTTCTTTACAAGGAGAGTGGTTAGGCCCTGGAACGGGCTGCCCAGGGAGGTTGTGGATGCCCCGTCCTTGGACGTGTTCAAGGCCAGGTTGGACGGGGTCCTGGGCAACCTGATCTGAATGTGTATGTTTGGTGGCCCTGCTAGGCAGGGGGGTTGGAACTACATGATCCTTGGGGTCCCTTCCAACCCGGGTGATTCTGTGATTCTGTAAAATGTTTTTCGACAGAAAAGAATTCATTTTACTTGTTGAGATAGATACAACCAGCTCAGCATAATCCTGGGGGTAGTCAAAAATGACTTTATGGTGGAAGAAGGAGCACATCTGAGAAAGGATAGTTCTGAAAGCTGAGGTGTTGAGGAAGGACATCCAGAAATGTAGTAGTGTCAGTGGGGAAAGGGAAGCCAGCTCTGGCTATCTGAAGTTTGGCACTTTAATGTTGGAAAAATTAAAAGGCGCATGCATTCCCTTTCTTGTCTTTATGTAGAAATGCAAGTTCTTTTCCAGCTCTTTTGTTGTTGTGATCTTATAATACACCTACTCTGGACCCACTCTTCTATTCTCTTCTAATTTTCATCCCAGTTTCACAGAGCCATGTAAAGCAGCTGGATTACTAAGAAGAAAAGGGCCAGTTAAATGTTCAGGCAGCACATAGTTCTCAAATAGCTGGTTTCTGTTTCCTCAAAAAGTCATGGCTGCATCTTTCTAGGCATCTCCTTGCAGCCCGTTTCTTTTCTATTACTTTTTTTTTTTTTTTTATCTACAGTGGTCCTAACCATTGTTCCACTACAATAGCATTAACAGTGTTCAGTTTTATAGATGAAAACGTTTGGATTTCAAGATGCTGCATATACAAGTGGCCTCTTGGAAGCGCTAATCTATTCTCTGACACTAATATGTGTTTTTTTTTCCCCTTGGGTTTATTTCCTGTTCCTTGGATGTCCATTTGTTATTTGGATCACTTGTTTCATGATTCCTCCTAAAGATTGTCTGTATTGCTGCCACATACATTGAACTTATCGTTGTTTGAAATTGTTATTTACTTGTGAACAAAGAAATAGACTGTAGTGAAATATTTTTGCGTGTGTATATGCACACATGATTTGATATTTGAATCACGCGTTTTACCCTTCAAAAAGAGGTATTTTCATTTTGTTCTACCTCTTTTTTTTAAGGTGGAGAACTTGCTTATTAGTAACCAAGGAACGATTAAACTTTGTGACTTTGGTAGTGCTACAACAGTAGCTTATTATCCTGACTACAGCTGGTCTGCACAAAAGAGAGCACTGGTTGAAGAAGAGGTAAGAATATCTTATCGTTGTTGATGTTGACAGTAGACTTCATTTTCTGTTAGTAATCTGCTCTTAGTTTGTGTAACTTCTAGGACAAGTGAAGATTCTTGTAGGGCTATTTATGTTGCTGGAGTTCATTTTAACTGGCTTGCAGTTAACACTGCTTGTTTTCTCTAGCTGCCTGTAACCACTGCTTCAGCTCGAGTAGTGTCCATTCTGTAATCTGATAGGGGAATACCAGATTAAAAGAGTTTCTTCTAATTGCAGTCAAAACAGGGTGTTGAATGTTGTCTGTCCCTTAAAAACAGGCAGTATTGCTCTGCTCCCAGAACTACAGTGATGATGTTAAACATGCATTTGGTTTTTCCAAAGTGCACTTGTTCTTAGTTTTGACGGAAGAGTAATGCTGGTAAATCCAATATAATCCATCAACTGGTCTTAGACTTTAAGTATGATGAAATACACTGGCATTTAAAATTCATGAATACAACCTCTGATATCATGCCTCTTTTAACCTTCCACTGTTTTGGAAACCTTTGCCATTGTAGAGTAATCCATTGGTTTCCAGAGAAGGAAAGGTAATTATGTACCATTGCTTTATATAGTGTATGCAAAAAAAAAAAAAAAAAAAAAAAAGTCTTATCTCAGTGGATCCTTGTAACACATGTAAATATTTGATTTTGTCTATACGCTGTCAGTAAGTGTGATGAGGAAACAAGAGATATATGTACTGGAGCATGAATTCACTTCCTGTTTTGTTGCTGATTTTCTTGATTTGTGTTCATCTCCATTTTAAATCTTCTGTGTTATGGAAAGATTCTTGAAGATTAGTTTTATTCTGAGTCCTTCAACCTTTACCCGTTGTTCTATGAAAGCCCTTGTGACTAGTCCATGACTCTGTTAATGGTGTCTTCGTTGACAGTTGACAAGTCTGAAATTTCAAAATGAACTGTCCACACAGAATAGGTAGCTTTCTGTTTCCTTTACTGAATGTCGTTAGAGTTTGTTCAGGTTTCTGCTTCAAGAGATTCTGTCTTCTGCAGATCACCAGGAATACAACACCGATGTACAGGACACCAGAGATGATAGATTTATATTCTAATTTTCCAATCAGTGAAAAGCAGGACATTTGGGTAAGAAATTCTTTTGTATCATAATGGCTTGGGCTCATAATTAAACTGGTTTTGCAGTTTGTATTTCACTTTTGTAAAAAACACAAAATAAGTGTGGGTTAAACTGTTCGTCAAAACCAACTTAAGTAGCGTGAACAATGTATTGAAATATTCAAGTAGTGAGATATTGAATTCATGTGTTTTGTTTTTTTTCCCCCACAGTTCTAGCTTGTCTTCCACTGTGAAAAGCAATAATTAACTTTCTTCTATATTCCATAGAACTATTGCTTTGGGGGAGCTTACTGCTATGAAGTCTTTAAGATTCTTTTAATTTGAATTTTCTTTTTATGCTATGCATGTAATCCTTGAACAGCCTATTGCTAAATTGATTTAAAACTTATTACATCTAGGTTTTGCATCTGTGTAGTTAAGATATTAATAAAGTTGGATTGTTCATGTTTTGTGTAGCAAAGAACATGAACTGTCAATGTTCACTGAGAAAGCTGTTGTAAGTCTTAATTCTTTTACATTCTAGTTATGCAATACTGCTGCAGTACAGAGATACTACCCAGTAACTTTGCATTTAGGAATCTTTTAGTTTATTGGATGTCTTTTTAAAGAGATAGCGTCAAGTTCTTCAACTGTATCTGTATCTGACATGTGTCAGAAGTCAAACTGAGAAATTGTAGTAACAGGCTCTTCAGATTTCAGCTGGGATTTCAGAACTTCATTCAGTTTCTTAGCTTAAGATTTAACATCTAATCCATCAGTGATTTATTTTTTTATGTACCAGGTGAAAAAACAAACAAAAGCTTTTCTGACAACTTGGTCATTTCACATGCCTTAAAAGCTGACAATCTTAACTAAGATTACATCCAATTAAACACAGCAAGAACATCAATTAACAAAAGCCTTACTGAAAAGAGCAGATGCATTTCTTTTGTTTAAATTAACTGAATCTGTTGGTATTAACATGCTGGTTGTCTTCTACTGTGTCTTTGGAAGGTCTGTTGCATTTATCATGATCTCTTTGGAACTTGTTCTGTGTTGTTGGTTTTTTTTTTTGTTTTTTTTTTTTTTTATCTTTGCATTCTGGTTTCAGTGAAAACGTGCACTGAATTTTGCAGAATCATATAGCTGTCTCAAAGTGTGACTGATCTGTAGTTTGCTGTTAGCGAGCTGAATGATAGCTTTTCCAAGGAAGAAGCATGTAGGTATGGTAACGTTCGTGGTTACTTATAGTGTGAGCTTAAAAGCATGAAGGCAGAAGAACTGCTGTGCTTAAAACAATAGTGTGGAAGAAGTATTAGTTATCAGCTACATGGATTGTGATTAGGTACTTAGTAGGTTATGTTTTCAGGCTCAGTCTGTTTTTTTTTTGTGTGTGTGTATTTCCTACTGAAGTCTGGAGATTTTCTGAAAATAAACACATTAACTAGAAAGAAATTAAAAGTTGAGGCAGGTATTAATTGCACTTATTTAATGTCATTTCTTGAACTGAAATTAAACTCAATTCTACAGAAATGAGTCTTGTCATAAATATTTTTCTGTGTTGAAATTATCCTTTGCTTGCAAGCTGCTTCATATGTTTCCATTAGTAAAGCTTTTGGAAATGTGAGTGGGCTCCTTACTAAGGAGTAAAGTTTCAAACTCTGGTTCTGCTAGGAGACTTCTAGGCTGTGTAAGGCATCTTCCAGGTCTTGCTTTTTTAATATCTGTAGTTTTCATAAGTTTTTTTTTCAGAATTTGGACTCTTTTATTCATGCAACTATAGTATAAAACCTTTATATAATAAAGGTTGTATAATTTTATTTTTATAGTATTTTATTTTTATAGTAATTTTAAAGTATCTCTTATTTCCTGAAGCGGTCTGAGGGATAATTAAATAATAGTAAATAGTAAATAACAGTATCTTGATTTGTTTTAAAAAATTTGTTCCCCCTCCAAAAAATGACCAAACCAAACAAAAACCCATCACAAAACAAAACCAACCAAATAAAACAACTTCACTGAAGGAAATCATTTTCTTTTACTATTTCCTCTTTTCAATTTGTGGCAGTTCTTTCTGCTGAGAGTCAGTATTAATTAATGGCAGTGTCCCCAGGTTCAGTGAGCTTTCTTCCTTTCGAGTGAGTCAGGATGCCTTTGTTGTGAGATTTAAGACTTGCTATGGTGAGGTAATTACAAGGCTTTTTTTTTTTTTTTTTTTTTTTTTTTCCCCCCACTCAGTTTATATTTCTTTTTTGCCTGCCAGTCTACTTTGAATTTGTTAGGTGTGAAAGAAAGGGCAGTGAAGCTGTGAGGAGCCTAAAGCACTAGTCCTATGAGATTGTCTGAGGGAACTGGGATTGTTGAGTCTGAAGAAGAGGGTGCTCAGGGGAGATGCTATTGCACTCCACAGCTGTCTAAAAGGAGGAGGTTGGCTTCTTCTGCCAGATAAGTGATCACACTAGAGGGAATGCCCTCAAGTTGTACCAGGGGAGGTTCAGATTGAAAATTAAAAAAAAAAAAAAAAGTCTTATCAAAAAGAGTACTAGAGGCATTGCAATAGGCTGCCCATGGAGGTGATTGAGTCACCGTCCCTGGAGGTGTTCAAGAAACTTGTAGATATGGTACTTAGAGACATAGTTTTGTGGGCAAGATTAGTGGTAGGTGCAGGGTTGGACTTAGATGATCTTGGAGATCTTTTCCAACCATAATGATTCTATGATTCTTGAACATGCTCAATGTTTCAAGTATTCACTTTGATATATGTGGCAAAATTTGTAAAATGGACATATGATTTTTAAAAACATATCAATACAAGAATTCTTACATCTGAAAACTGTACTTAAGGGGAAAAAAGAAATCACAATCTTATTTAGAGGCAACTTTGGTAGTAGGAGTGCTCTAACTGACAAGTCAAGTGAATGTTTCACTGTTTCTCTCCTCAGAGTAACACCAAGACTATTTCAGAAGGAGTCTGAAGCTGATCTTGAAAGTACTGCAAATATGTAAAGGGTTCCATGAGTCAACACTTGATGATTGAAACCTGTGATTTGCAAGCAGTACTAGGAAGCCTAATCACAATCTGAAATTCAGTTTTAATTATCGCTGCCTAAATTAAATACTTCTGCCTTTATCTCTTTTTAGGCTTTGGGCTGTATCCTGTACCTGCTATGTTTTAGACAACATCCCTTTGAAGATGGAGCTAAACTTCGCATAGTCAATGGAAAATATGCCATTCCACAGAATGACACCCGCTACTCTGTATTTCATGATCTCATCCGTAAGTTTATGATGTTATTTAGTTTAGTGTTTTTATTGATGCAATTTTGTGCTTGCATTATATTTCTAGGAATTAAATCTTACTGACTTCTACTTAACTACTCTGTAGTCAAAAGGATAACTATTACAACTTCTCATTTTATTCAAAATTTTGATCTATAGTTAAAGACAAAGCAAGCCTTCAAATTAAACTTCTGTACTTTAGAGCTGTCACCTATCATGCTTTGGGCTTGAGGCATGTTGTAGGAATGACAAGTGTTTTGACTCATTTCTTTGAATTTGCTTTAGAAATACCTTTTCCCTTAGCGTTTAAATAGTTTACCAAAACCTTCAGTTGCAGTGCTGGAAATATGATTCCAGCTCCAACAACATTAAATACAGCATTACTTTTGAGGTTGTTTATGAATGCACCCCTGAAGTATGTTCTGTGATGTATTCTTAACCCTAAAGGTATTTCTTGAAGGTTACTTCTTAAAACAGTGATACTTTTGTATGAGTTTAGTATTTGCTGTACACTGTTCTGTATATTTGAGGCTGCAGTGAAGAAGTTATCTCTGCTGGAAGAAGGCCTCAGAAGGACATCTGTTACATTGTCTGAACCATGTTTTTTAGGCTCCACTTTGAAGGTGAACCCAGAGGAGAGATTGTCAATCACTGAACTTGTGAATCAGCTGCAGGAGATTGCAGCAGCTAGGAATGTGAATCCTAAATCCCCCATCACGGAGGTAAAGGAATCTTATGAAAGAGTATTATTGAGTAGGTCTCATTACTTATCTGATGTGAGCTTAGAAATAAATGTCAGTGCAGGCCCTCCATTTCTCAGTCTTTCGAAAACTTCACACTGCCTTCTTTTGAAATTGAATAGATCTGTATAACTTAAATGTAGCCTTTAAAAAATACACTTAAAAAAACCAACAACACAGAATTTACATGACATTAAAATAAACTAGTTGCAATTCTTACTGCGTATTGATGAAAATGTCTTGTTCCTAAATCATTCTTTAGTAGGCAAGTGCTCTGTTCAACATGCTGTATTCAATCATAATTAACATGCACAAGAAACTCCAATACGTGAAGGCTCTGTCTTCATTAACTTAAACCCTCTTGCAAGGACGCTCTCTGGAGTGTCTCTTGTTTGATGCTTTATTTAGACTACAGTGAAACTGAGTATGAGTAGCGTAGTTGAGCTGCCTGGCTTTCTCCGGAGCCTAAGAAATTGGTTGCATGGTTGTTCTCACCAAGTTACACTTTGTTAGTTGATTTTTATGAGTTGGCTAAATGAAGAAGAAAATCTTCAGTGGTTATTAATCTCCACAGCTCTTGGAACAAAATGGAGGCTATGGAAACAATGCTCAGCCTCGAATATCTGTGACCTCTGTTTCACAGAGCTCCAAGCCTGCAGGACAGCTCAACAATATGTACAATGCAGGTATGTGCAAAAAAAGGCGTCTCAATGCACCAATTGCATATTTTGCATTTGGGGAAAGAATTTAGGTATTTTAAACATTTTTCACAAATACAGACTATTGGTCTTTATTGGTCTATTATTGGTCTTTCTAAGCTTTTGTTTTCTTTTTCCTTAGAGTTTGGTTGTATGTTGCTAACACAAATAGTTTGTTGCTGGGAAAATAAAATTTGGTTTTCTTTGTAAAATAATTGAAGCCAAAATGTGTTATTAACCTGTAGATGGGGAGGAATTTGGGATGAACTAAAGTTTTATGACAGTGGCTGATCAAATGAGCTGTAAGAATTATAGCAAAAAAAAAAAAAAAAAAAAAGAGTAAAAAGAATTCACTATAAACTAAACTTTCCAATTCAGCGAGACATATGATATTTGTGTTCACTGAAAAGTGAGAGCTTAAGATTTAACTGCTGAAAATCCTTTGAGAAGTGCTGTGATGAAAACTTTAGTACATGTGGTGGAAGTCGCTGAGCAGTTTACTGACACTACAGTCATTATATTCAGAGACAGCCATTGCTGGTGCTGGCTTGAGCCCAGCTAACTAAGAAACAATTGTGCTGGGTTGTGCCAAAAAACTTCAGTGGTGAGAAGAAGCTGTGGCATCATCTGAAGAAAAACAGTGGTTAAACTAACAGTATGTACTTGACTCAACCAAAACATGCTTCCAAGATGATTTAAAAGCTGGCATGTTCTTTCTAGAAATGTAAGTATTATAGGGTTCATTTTGTTGTAAATACTTGCATTTAGTGTAGTAAAGAAAATGAAAGCTGGATTGGCTTGCTTGCATTTGGTTTTGTAATAAAAAGCAGTCTCAGCAACCACCTTTTCATATATTTCATGTGAATTTGGAGCTTAACATGATTAAGGTAAAACACAGCCATGGAATATTTCATATTGTATTCACTTTTTCTTGTTTTTATTACTTATACTGAATTGACAGTAAGAAGGCATTAAAGCTCAAGAGGAAAGCTGGGTAATATTTACTGCAATAATTTCATCTGCATATAAATTGCTGTGGAAAATATACCTTCCTAGTAGGAACGCTCTTTTCAGTTGAGCCCGGTGACAGAACAAGGGGCAGTGGGCACAAACTGGAACACAGGAAGTTCCATACGAGCATAGGGGAAGTTGTCTTCACTGTGAAGGTGACAAAACATTGAAGCAGGCTGCCCAGGGAGGCTGTGAAGTTGTCGTTCTTCGGAGATATTCGAAACCAGTATAACCTACTTTAGGGAACCTGCTTCAGCAGGGGGTTGGACTTGATGATCTTTAGGGGTCCTTTTAAATCCCTCTGATTGTGTGATTCTAATCAAAATTCTGTCTGGCTGTCTGTTTTGTGCAGGATGCAGTGCTGTTTTCCGTTAATGGTGGAATGTTGCTAGCTGGGACTGCATGCTTAAAATGTAACTTATGTCACCTTCCTTTTGAAGCCCTGCTTCAAAATGTCATTTTACTGGAGATGCTTAAGTTGACTTGCTGATGAAATACTGCATGTTGAGACTGATAGTAAACAAAAGATAGTGTTTTCTTGCAGAAACAATATGAAAGAAATGCTTCACCAGTACAAATCTTGTTCTGCTTTCTCCTAAATACAGTCAATTAAACAATTTGTTAAGTGATTTACTTGTAGCTCTTTACCACACAGGTGTCATTTTTTTTGTGTAGTTTGTGGTTAAGGAGGTCTTTAATACTGTGAGCCTTACAGCAAAGCTTGGCCTGTATACGCTTTCACTTTACAGCTTTGTGGGCAATTTTCTTTAGTTTGGATGTGACTTAAAGTACAGTTATTTTTATTCAACTATTCTAGGCTTGACCGTTGCGGAATGTGACCAGACTTATGGAGGGTTCTTCGATATTCTGAGGGGTGGAACAGAGCGATTTTTCACTAATATTAAGGATACATCTTCTAAAGTTATCCAGTCTGTGGCCAAGTGAGTAAAAAAAAAATATATAAAAAATGTTGGTAAGAATTACGTTACAGAAGTAAGGAGTTTATTCCGGAAATAGTCCAACTCAACCCAATCATTTTCTACATATGAGTTCTAGCAACTGATAATTACTGCAGAGACTTTGAGCGATTCTAATACAAAAAATGAAGAAGCAATAGCGTAGAAAAGAAATTGCTGGGAGGGGAAAACCTGTCTGTAAGTACTGCCTTCCTTGATGTTGTCTGCTGTATTTTGCACGTACTGAAAACCTGAGAGATGTGAGTTGGTGGGGACTGGAACTAGGAGGAGGAGTATGAGAGTGGGACTATCATGGATCAAAATAAACAAATTCAGCTACAACATAGGGTTTGAGTGAATAATGAAAGAATAAGACGGAGTGGTGAAAGTTTAAGACAATGAAAGAGAGGAAAAACTACAGGGAAATGGCGCATGAGCTCTTCTGTCCAGTTTAGCTTTCAAATGGAATCCTGTGTGTGGTGTGGAAAGGCAGAGACTTGTGGCAAAATGAGAAGTTTCACACTGCCTTTCTCATTAGCACTGAATTACATGAAAGAATACTGTCCTGATTTGATGTATGTTTTCTTGGGTTCTTAATGTATTTTAATGAGTTTTCCAAACTCACAGCAAATGTTTTCCGTTGGCTCTGTATGATGATCAGAATATGGATTTGTCTTTTTCAGTTTTTTATGGAGTGTTATGCAGTATAAAAAGCTTTTTCTTAATTTTTTGGGTGAGAATGTAAGTCAGTGTAGTAATAGAGCTAGAACCTCCTTTTGGGCAAGTTACTGTATTCCTTTGTTATAAATTTTTTGACCTTGTAATTGGAAATACTGTGAAATCTTCTATTTGCAACATGCTTTTCTATCATGGAGCGTAGTGTTTAATGTGCTGCTTTGAACTTTCCATGTAGCGCTCAAAAAGGCCAGATCTTCAGTTTCTTAAAGGTCACAATAACTATGCAGCTTTGGTTTGTCCTTAGCAGCTTTCTGCAGATAAAATCAATTATGACAGCATCAGACTTTCTGCTGTGATGGAACCACACAGGCTCAAGTGAAGAGAAAGGGAAGTAAACTGGGGGAGTGAACTGTTGCATGATGGAAAGCAGTGAATTCTTAGGAACCCAACAGAACTGTAGAAATTTTGTGTACAAAGCATTGTGATAAGCAGCGCTTTAATTTTAAGCAACTTTTCTATCTCTTTGGCATACACTGAGATACATACCTCTGTTCTTTACCTCTTTGCTACCTTCTGTGGAAGTGATCTTTCTCAGCCCTTCTGTTCAGTGTAATTTCTGTTCCTTTTGTGGTATCTTTTTAAAGAAAATTTTCTGTGTGATAATACCTGGATATATTCTGCAGATTTCTTGCCTTCAACAGCTCTCTTACAACCTGAAGGTACTTAATTTTTTGTCTTAAATTCTGCCAGTTTTGCTTAAATTTCAAGTTTTGCAATAGAGAAATTACTTCTTTTCCTCTTAGTGACAGACAGTAGTTGAGTTCTTGTCTTCCTCTGAAGTTGTAAGCTCTGATTCACGTTTTTATTCCTGTAATAGATGTTACTCTTCCATTCTACTATTTTAACAGTTGCTACTGCTTCTGCAGTACTCCTGCACTCCATTTCTGGTGCAGTTTTCCATGAGTTGTTCTGTACTGTTGTAACATATGCTTATATTTGAAGAGGTTTCTCTTCCTGCTCTTGCAACCAGTTTTTCCTTATTGACCACTAGAAGTTTGATTACTTCTTACAATTTCATCTTGCGTTGTTTTCTTCTTTTCCTGTGGCAAGGGATAAGAACAGTCTACAAGTATATGGAATGCCTTGTGCTGTATTTTCACTTTGTTTTTGCTTCTCTTACCTAACATGTCTGTGGGGCTTTCTGCTTTGTATGTTTTCATTTGGCTCCATACCATGGGTAGCATGGAAGGTGTAAAATATTAACTGAATATACAAGCTTCCATGAGGTACTGACAGATATAAGACAGTGGGTACTTGCTGTCTTGAAATATGCTGTTCAGTTCACATACTTGTATCCAAAGTCATTTGATACAGGTATAGAGATTGCCCAGAATAAATTTTCATCTGTTTTAGTCACTGTTCTCATTTTTTAATAACCAGTTCCTGTTCTGTGACTGAACTTCATATTTAGCACTTCAGTTAGAATTACTTATTGATTTACTTGATTATAGATCTGAGCATCTGTCAGGATCTTCGCGCTTTTGGAGGTGTGTTATTACATGTGCAGTATGGAAATTGTTAAAGATTATTAACCAGGAAATAGCTCTTCACTTTTCCATCTTATGCGTTAACTGCAAAATAATAGATGTGAATATTAATGACAATAGATTACCTTGAGAGTGTGGTTGCTCAGCATGGTTTGGCTTTTTAAGACTTAATAGCTGTAAGTGTTATGATAATCAATTAGATAACTATCCATTGGTGTTTCCTGTCTAGAGGAGGATGCTGCACTTCCAAGAGCTATAACAAATGGGGAGAGGTTTGACAGACAGTGTTGTGCCGTGATTTAATGGCAGGTTACTTTCTACAAGCTGATGCTTTCACTGTAAATTGTCTGACTGTTGAATTCCAGGCTTTCTCATGAGGAGGTGAATCCCACTCAGACATTTTGGACGAGGCTGTTGAACTGGGGAGGGCTGTGTGTACAGTCACTTCAAACTATTGTTTCTGTTGGCAGTGAAGAAAAGTTGTCAAACTTGTTTAAAATAGGCAATAGCAAAAACAAAACCTGGTCTTGTGGACGGCCATCTGTTTTGGCACAACTTCCAGGTCTGTTGTTAACCATGTACATTTGGTCAGCAGTTTGGGAACTGAAAGAAAATGAGATTGCACCAAGTGCAGATTCATATAACGTGCTAGTGAGGACAAGATACATCAGTACTTGTTTTCCAGATAATGTTTAATGAATACACAGAGAACCTTTTCCACTTGTAATTTATCAGTGTTTGTTAGTGGCTTCTTAGCACAACAAGTTTCGTTTTCTGAGAGTGCATGCTTTTTGAACCTTGACTTTTTGAGCCTTGAACAGTAGTTAATGTTATACAGGACCAGAGATAGTCTGAGGTTCTTCAGCATTCACGTATATCACTGTCCTTGTGAGAGTCCCACCACAAGGCTTTGTGCATCCATGAACTACTCGTGCTTTAACTGAGCTGAACTGCTTATTCTTTCTTTGTGTCTGCTGTAGGGTGTTTGTTTTCTGCCATGGCTGTTCTCTACCTTCACAAATTTGTGGCTGCAGCTGGTCGTAGTTGAAAAGGTGTTCTTAAATTCCTTATGCTAATGGCATCAACTACCTTTCTAAAACTCAATGAATATGAGAAGCAGGCTTTCTGGACAAACTAAAATGTTTCTTCCTTGCCATGCATTTTCATCACTGCTCTGAGCCCACAGATGGGCTGTCTCCTTCCTGCTCATGGCTGCTTTTCTGAGTTTTAGAGTTATATCCTTTATCTTCAGGCAGACTCTTCTTCATTGAATCCACACCACAGTTGAAGAGTTGATGTTCATTACTTCCAATAAAAAGATAATTTTCTCCCAGAGCTGCCTTTATTCAAATTTTGGGTCTCCTGTTTGTTGCAATAAGTGATAAAAGCCTGAGCACTAAAATGTGTTGTGGTCTACTAGGAATATGAATGAATCAGGACCATCTTGATTGTGCTCATGCCACCTCATTTGAAGCTATTTTGGAATAAACATATATTGTACGTTTAGGTTTAAGTCAGGCAGAAGCAATTTCTTTGTTGCTGGTCTGTCACTCTTTAGCTGTTGAGGTTCAGCCCTTTTGTTGTCACAGACTAACCTAATGTATACTACTGCAGGGCAGCATCTGCACTGAAAGGAGATTTGTTCTTCCACACGTACCCATACACGCCTGCTAACTCAGGGTCAGCTGTGCAACATTGGTGTAATTTCTCTGTCCATCTCTCCTGTCCCTCAGTTGCGATGTGATGCTGCTTTTCCCTTCAGCTTCTTTGCTTACTGAGGCTTGCTTCCACGGAAGATACAGATGCCATGTCAAAAAAAAAACCAAAAAAAACCCAAAAAAACAAAAAAAGACCAAGATAACTTCAGAAGATAACCTGTAAATATTATGTAAAAGTTTTATAGATTTTATAAGCATTGAGCATCTGCTGGCATCAAACCTTTCTGCAAAACTTTTGACCAGTCTTCCTGCTTTACCAAAACAATATCTTCTAATTAAGAAACTGATCTAAGATTTTAGTGCCTTTCATTGTTAGCTTTCTGTGCTTCTAGGGTAATTTTGTTTCTTGGTGCTGCATTAATGCTTCATTTCATGGGAATATTACTTTGCTTCATGTTACCACTGCATAGTTAAATGATTAATTCAGTTTTACAAAGAAAAACCAAATGGGAGTGGATTGATATGAATTTCACTGCTGCATTTCTTCATGGCTTTAAAAAACAACAAACAAACAAAAAAAAAACCAAAAAAAGCCCCAAAACTTCAAGAGCAGTATTACTCAGTTAATAGATTTTTGTCTTAATTTTGTGTACACCTCTAGAGGAAGACTGCTTAGCATTAGAGCATTGTTTGACTGAAGGCCATACTTTGCTTGCTCATACTGTAGCTAAATTGACTAGTATGTCTTCTTTCTTTCCCATCTTCAGCTGTCAGCATCACAAGGTAACTGTCTGCTGTTGTAGAACTTTGTGCTGTATGCTGTCTCGCTTTTATGAATTTGTTAATTTTATTTTTAACCTGTCAGCAAACTGTGGCATCATTAGTGCAGCTCTTCTCTGACGAGACCAATAATGCCAACCCTTTACATTGAGAAGTTTTAAACATTTAATTAGGACTTCTGATTTTGTTCAGATGCTTATGCTGCAAAGTGGGAGTTTATGTCTTATTTGCTACATTTCCATCTAGATATTTCACTGTGAGGGTATAAGAATCTTGTTATTATCAGGAAAGGGACTAGATATTGATATGATGACATGCTTTCCTGTCTACCTTAATTGAAGCCTTAAAGAAGCACATTTGTTATGGAATTTTGCAGAATTTTTCCATGTTGGTCACAAGGTAGAAAGCCTACATGCAATATCTTGGCTACTTGCGTGTTGTTGTGTTCATCACCTGCCAGCAGTGCTGCAGTACATGTATAGCTGTTAGCAGCACGCAAAGATGGACCTCAGACCTGATATTTTGTTGCAGAGTTGACTTGAAATGCCTATCACTGTATGTGAAGAGTGTACTCCACAACTGCGTACATGTTTTTTGCCTTCATTTAAAGAAGTTTTTATTGTCAGTCTGACATGAAGCACTATACTGAGAAGAGCACCTGGTGTTCCAGTCTTAATACTGAAATAGCTCTGAAATACTCAGGAAAAAATTCAAGGAAAACACGGAATAGGAATTCAAAAGATAGTCGTACATTTTAAGTCTTGAGTTGATTTTCCAGTCTGTGTACCAGCTACACTCTAATTCACACAGCAGAACCATTCTGAAACTTTTCTGATTGTCACAGGCATGCAGACTTTACTGTACAGCAGCAAACTTATCTTGTCCATGCTGTTATTAACAATCCAAACTACTTTTTTTCAGCAAGTTCTAATCTGCATGGAACTTTTCTGCTAGTGTGTGGTGTGATCCACTCTCCTAATAATTTTGCATTTTAATTTAGACAAATGTAAAAATAGAAAATGTGTAGGATGGTGTTGCTAGTAAAGGGTCAATTTCTGAAAATATTGCTGTAGGAACAAATGTGAAGACCAGGTTTTTTGCTCGTTGTAGCAGTATGCGCTCATTTTATGTTGCTGTTTAACTTATGGTATTGAATATGCAATACTTCTTTGTTTTCAGGCTATTGTATTAGATGTTTCTTCATCTTGATAACTGAAAAAGTTCAAATCATTAGAATGATCTGCTTTTTTTTTTTTTTTACTTGAAGTTAGTGGGTGTAAGTGACAAATAATTTAACACCTCACAATCAGAAATGACTGTGCTGATTTTTGTTAGCAATTGCAATTGGTACTGAATGTAAATTTTTGCCTTGATCAGTTTGTGTGCAGCAGTATGTTACCACCTGAGCTACCTGATGAAGTTAATGGCCTTCCAAAAATGAAGATGTTTTTGAAATAGCATTGTATTAGGTCATTTTGTGTACCTCTTCTTGCAGTGTTTTTCAGGGTTGAGTTTTTAGTGTTTTGGCTGTTGAGATTCTCAACTTTCCTTATGGTGACTTCAGTTTCTCTTGAGTCTGTGAATTGTTATCGTTGTTAACCCAGTCCATACAAGTACTTGTCATTGCCTTCAAAGCTGTCATTCTTGCTTCATCCCAAGTTCTCCTCCCAGTCCTTGTAAATTCAGTAATCTTTTAATCGACTCCTTTAAGTTAACTAGTATGCCATAAGGAGTCAAGGAGAGACTGTTCCTCTTGGTGTTTCAGAAAGGAATGCTGTATTCTACGTGTCTTGAAACTTTGTGATGATTTAAAAAAGTGCTTCTCTTTGGTATACATGCATGATATTGTTGCTCTGTCTTTTGATATTCTGGAGATGTGCTACCGATGTAAGCTATCTAAAACAAACTCTCTAGGTGAAGTATTTTTTCCTGCTTTGACGCTGAGAAGTGTAGACCTATGGGATCCATCTCATTTGACATATGCTGGGACTTCTCAGTCTTTCCCAGATTTTCACCTTGCTGCACAGCAAGTACCCTGCAAACAAAATAATGACAATCATGAAATAGTAAATTATTAGTGTAAGTTGGGGGGTAAGGCAGAGATGGAAGGAATGAATATAAATACGAAAATCACTGGGAAGCTATTTTACAAAAAAAGCTGCATGGGTAATTAGGAAACCAGTGAGTAATGAATGATTAATGCTTTGCTCACTTCAGGCATTTTGGAATCTTTAAAAAATTTGAAGCACTAGAATGTCCTCCAGTCGAAATGTTAATGAATCCTCATTGAGCTTTAAAATCGATACTGTGTAAGAGATAAGGGTTCTTCTGGTCCTTTTAGAAGCTGCTTATGCGTTTACAATGAACATTTATCAGTAACAGTAACAGTTGTAGAATGACTTAAACATTGAGAGTACCTGTATAAAATTCCCAAAGCTGGTTTTGTTGCAACTAGTGCAGGTATACCATCTATTCTGGAAATAACCTATGATAAGACTTTAGATTCATGGCTTGAATGGTTCTATTTCTCAGTGTCAACTCCAATGTATTCTTTTTCAGTTATGCGAAAGGAGACTTGGATATATCATACATCACTTCAAGAATTGCAGGTATGATTGCTAAGTCTCACAAATAACTTCTGGTCATGCATTATACATGGAAAAAAAAGTATATACCTCACCTGCTGATCTTCTTTTTTCAGTGATGTCCTTTCCAGCAGAAGGTGTAGAATCTGCCATCAAAAATAACATAGAAGATGTACGGTTATGTCTGGACTCCAAACATCCTGGGCACTATGCTGTGTATAATCTTTCTCCAAGGACATACAGACCTTCACGATTCCATAATAGAGTGTGTATTGTTTTTGTGTATTTCTGTAAAAGGTGTTTCAATGCAGTGTATTGATTTATACCTTCAGCTTCTTGTCATGTGATACTTTAAAGCATGCTGCTTAATCAGAAAGATGACAACAGAATGGTTATAAACATAAGCTCAAAGAGTAACCTCTTCTCTGCTTGCTCTTACTTCCATTTCAAACTTAAAGATTAAAGGCTAATCTTTACTCTTTTTGATTAAAGACTGTTTGTTAGGCTGGTGGTATCTTTTGAAGAAGTGTACCAGTGCCCTTAGGTTTCAGATTTATATGGGGAATATTGAACATAATTAAAAATCTGAATAACACTTCAGTTCCTCTCTGTTCAAAGGTTTTTACTTTCAGGTGTAGCACTTCCTTGAAGTCTCACTTAAATAACCTGCTGATGAGTCTTCTTCCTTGTCTTGCTGCACACTGTTTGACTTTTGTGTGGCCTAGCCCTGGAATGCTGCTTTTTCTTGGGAGGTGTAGGTGTTTGGTTGTTGCTCCTGACTGAAATATTGTTCAGCAATGAAGACCATATCCCCTGTGTACTGAGACCAGTAGTGAAGCCAGCTTGAAAGATACTTGAAGTACTGGACTTCTTTCTCTGTTCTGAAATACACTTTAACTGTCCTATAACTAGCTCAACTGTGCAGATTATTAATGTGTTTTAAGTTTTCTAGCAGTGACCATGTTGGACCATATCTAAACTGTCCATAGTGGTAATGATCCTCCTCTGATACTGACTGTCCAGCTGATGGTGTAAAAGCACTGTTTGTTATGTGAAACTTCTTCTAGACCTTATTCTGCAGAACCATTCTTAGCATTGCTTCGGTTATCTGAGTTCACTTAAGCTTCATCAAGCTAGGAAATAGATAATGTATTTTATCCAGTGCATGTCTCTTGCCTTTTTGCATCATCGCAAATCTGTACACAAGACAAAGTATGTTCAACCTGAAGAACAGTTACTGCCTCTTTGGTTGGAGGATCCTATTCAAGGTCAATGTTTTTCTGAGTTCTGCTGAGCTTGAGGTTTAGCCAAAGGCTGTTCAACTTGAAAGGTAACAGTTCTGTAGGGAGCTTCCCATTTATTTCTGTTTAGTCAGGTATCTCAAAGCAAAAGCTTCAGAAATCCTTTTTTGAACTGAAGTTCACTGAGGCTGACATATTTAAGTGAACAGTTTTATCTCCTATTCTGACAAAGCTATCAACCTTCGTTTGAAATGATACGTTCTGTCTTTAGGAAGTTGTCTATTCTGGAGATAGCTTTTTTGGTTATGCTTGGTTATGCAAGTCTGATGCACTTATATGTTGATATTCCTGATGTAATAATACTGCAAATGATAACACAAACACCACTAAGCACAAGTCTTATGAGGAGCGGTTGAGGGAGCTGGGATTGTTTAGTCTGGAGAAGAGGAGGCTCAGGGGAGACCTCATTGCACTCTACGACTTCCTGTGATGAGAAGGGATTTGGCCTCTTCTCCCAGACAATGAGCAGGACACGGGGCAATGGCCGCAAGTTGTATCAGAGGAGGTTTAGATTAGACATAAGGAAGAACTGTTTCTCTCAGAGAGTGGTCAGGCACTGGAATGGCTGCCCAGGGAGGTGGTGGAGTTGCCATCCCTGGCAGCGTTCAAGAGGCGTCTGAATGACGTGCTGCATGATATGGCTTAGTGCTTGTGGTGGCAATGGTGATGAGGAGACGGTTGGACTGGATGATCTTATAGATCGTTTCCAACCTTGTGATTCTGTGATTCTAAGTCTACCAGTAATTTGAACATTTTGTGTTCTACATTTATCTTAGTGACATCAATTTTATTGTGTGCTCTTTGCTTTGTTGTATCTGGAAAGAAATAGTATCTCATATCTTTTCAGAAAAATCCTTATGATAGGGAAATTTTTGATGTCCATCTTTGAAATCCAGACAATCAATGAACAATGCTTTCTAACTTACTAACTCTGTTGTTCAGTACTGGGCTAGAACAGTTATGCAGTAAGCTAAAGAAATCTAGGTTTTTTTGTCTAGTGCTTCAGAAGATGGTTCTGCATAGCCTTCAACATGATCAGAGTGAAGCAGCTTTTAAAATACTTAAGAAATTGTATTTTCTTGGTTTGCCATTGTATATAATCTATTGATAAGTTCTAAAAGATTAAAATGATTAAAAGTAATTACAAGTCAGTAATCTGAATTGTTGGCACTTCCAGTGCAACAGACTAGAGGTCTACTGTTTTAGATCCTAGAGAGTGCTTCCTATTTCTGCAAGGCTACATTTTATCTTGCTTAATTTTCTACCTGAAGATGGCATTAAACTGTAAAATATCCTCTTCTGTGAATGTGTGCAACTGTAATGTTGTTTCACACCTCTTTTGTGTCTCTTTAGGTTTCTGAATGTGGCTGGCCAGCAAGACGAGCGCCAAATCTGCAGAATCTTTACAGTATATGCAAGAACATGCATTTATGGCTGAAACAGGACCAGAAAAATGTTTGCATTGTGCACTGCCTAGTAAGTAGCTAGATATTACCCAGGCATTTTGTTCTTGCCAACTTTAGATTGTGATTAAGAATGCTAGTATTACTTGGGGAGTTCCTGTGATTTTCTTCACTGTAGGGCCTGGAGGTAATTCCATCCTGCAAGGTATTTAGAAAAATAATTTCCATGTATTTTTCTGTTTAGACAGTAAGATAATGTAGCCCTAGCTTGCATGTAATGTAGAAAATATATGGACAGTGCAAGGCAAAATAACTTTTGGGAGAAAAGAATATTTAGTTATTTTAGTGTTTGTTCTACTTTTCATTCTACTCTTCTGGTGAAGCACTTTGGAGAAGAATAGGTAAAGAACTGCAGAAACTGACTATAGAGCATTAATGGTACTTGATTTTGCTGGCATCAGGTTGCGTTGTAACTTCCGATGTTCTTAAATGCATCACTAGCTTTGATGTAGCCTCAAAAATGCAAGTTAACTATGCATAAAAAGCTACCTCATGTTAAACAAGAGAGAAGAGCAGTTTTAAAAAATAGTTTGTTTGCAAAGCTTGAGCACGTGAGGTTACTGTCATGTTTCTTTATGAAAATTGAATGTAAAATACATATGCCAGGGTCTTGAGTAGCTCCTATATATCTTCAGTATCATTTTGTTCTGCGTGATAATCTGGGGTCATTCAGTGTTAGTCATTCTTGAAAACTCATAGTTTTAGGGGTATGTTAGAATAAGATCATTTTGAAGGAACTTAATGGCAAGCAGATCTGAAACTCAAATGCTGCAGCTTCTTAAATGTAGAGTCCTGTAGTTGCTGGGATTGGAAGACATTTAAAGATCATCCAGTTCCGACTCCTGCCCGTTTCCAGCAGGGCTGTTACCCACTAGAACAGGCTGCCCTGTTCTGCTGGGCAGAACAGAGCTGCATCTGATCTGGCCTTGAGTGCCTCCAGAGACTGGAAAGGTGCTGAAGTGTTCTTATGAATAGCTGTATTTGACCCATGTTTGAATAAACCCTGTTAAGATAATTGCTGGAAAAAGCTGAAGTATATTTACTTTTAAAATGCTTTGGTCAAAAATCTGATCCCTTTTGTCAAGAATTTGGGACAAATATTATCTTTTAGAACTTTAGTGTTTTCTGATAATAGTTTTTTTATTGCTACCTTAATGATTGCTTAGGCCAAGGGTAGTTTCTCTGTAACCAAGCCCTACGTCCTTTAAAAACATGAAAGGAAAACCTGAAATTCTCCATGTCTCATCTCTGCATGAAGAGTTCCTTTTGTTTTTGTTATGCCAATTATCAAGTTTCTTTCTGAAGATCTGTCATCAGATTTGTTTGCCAGTGAATAAAATATTATGCATTTTGAATGCTGTCATTCTGTTTATGACATAATCTTTAAAATCTTACTCACTTGCTCTAGTTTCATTACATGGTTGCAAAGAGTTAGCTGTTATTTGTTTGTCAGCCTGTTTTTGCTATGTTTTTCTCCTCTCAGTGTGATACTTTTTTTTTTTTGTAATTATTTTGTAATGCTGGTGTACATAACTCACTGTTTGCTATGCTGATTGGTGGTGTTTTTCTTCCCCTGTACTCATTCATGTTTTGTCCTAAGCATGGGCTTCTCAGTGTAGGGACTGTGATTCTAATGATCCGTGAAACTTCACAGGAAGGCCTGGTCTAGCCCATAGAATCATAAGCCAACATTGGTTAGAAGTGACTTCTGGAGATTGTAGGGATACGTCTTTTGCTCTGAGCTGAGCTGACTTCCATGTTAGCACCAGATGCCCTTAATTGGGGCATGCTAGTTACACCAGCACTAATAGTTAGGATGACTAGTAATTGCCTGGATTTGAGGGAAAAGGCTGTTATAACAACTTGAGAAGAAAAGTTTTCCTCTTCATTTCTACATACATATGCTAAATGACTACAAAAAATCTGTTCCATGCTTGCTGGCCAAAACAAAGTGTGCACTAATTTGTATCGACCACTGACTAAGCTTCCAAATATTCAGTATTTTATTTTTGGGGAGGAATGTAGTATATCCCAGCAGTTCCTGCAGGTAGATTGATATTTTGCTTCCCTTCTGTGAGTGCCCTGGCAAATAATGATCTTAGGCAGTTCTAGACAAAATGTTAAAGAATATGGTATGGTTCAGTTCTTTGGACTTCTCTAGTACTGGATGTCAATAATGACAAACAAAACTTTAAGGCAGCAGCCAGGAAGCAGGCTATGAAATGGATGATAGTGATAGTAAGATGCTAAACGTCAAACTGAAAACTTTAAGCTAAAAAAAACCTGAAAACTTTAAACATAACCACAATTTATTCATGTCTAAGTAGGTAATCTGTTGTATCATGTGGAAATAGAATGAAAACACTTCAGATGAAGTTTTCAAATCCAGTGATCACACTAGAACTTGAGCTTCTTTACACATTACAGATAGATATTATGTTCTTCAGCATCTTCTGTAATGCTTTTTCCACTATTTTTAATAATAAAATTACAATTTTTTTTTTGTAGGATGGAAGAGCAGCATCTGCTGTTGTAGTTTGTTCTTTTCTGTGTTTCTGTCGTCTCTTCACTACTGCTGAGGCTGCAGTTTATATGTTCAGTATGAAACGCTGTCCTCCTGGCATATGGCCTTCTCATAAAAGGTATGGTATCAATCTGCTTGTAGTGCACTACTGAAGCAAATATCTATGCAACTGTTAATAAGTTACTGTTCTTACAGGGTGGTTTTTAGTATAAATTATTTCAGTAGTGTCTGTGAGAAGCAAAATACTTGGAAAAACCAGTGTACCATAAATCAAGTGGCTCTGAACTTGGTTAGACCTTAATCGGCAACGGTGTTCTTAGCACAGCTGAATTGGATATGATCCTGTAATGAGGCAGTGTTAAGAACAAAAATAAGAGTATGCTGTCTTAAGTATAAAATCTTCTTCCTCATGTGGAAGGCATCATATTCCATGTTTACTACCTTACTGCCGTAGATTTTAATGTGTCAGAACACTGCAAGTTTGGCGGAAAGAGTAATGAGTCTTTTTCATGTTTGGATAAAAATGCTTTTTTGTTGTTGTTAAGTCAGTAGTAAGCAACAGTGGTTGTAAAGGTGTTTCCTACAAAAAAGGGTTAGATCTAGAAATGTAAGAAGTATGAGGGATTTGTGAAGAGCAAATGACGGGTTATTATGTTGTACAGTTTTACTGAGTATATTTTAAGGGGTCCTGTGCAGAGTAACTTATATTAATGAATCATAGAATCACAGAATGTCTTGGATTGGAAGAGCCCTTAAAGCGCACTCAGTTTCAACACCCTGTCATGAACAGGGTAGCCACCCACCAGGTCAGCTGCCAGGACCCTATGCAAACTGACCTTGAATGCCTCCAGCAAGGGGGTGTCCACAACCTCGCTGAGCAACCTGTTCTGGTGTCTCACCACTGTCCCAGTAAAAAATTTCTTCCTAATAACTTGTCTAAATTTGCTTTCTTCCAGCTTAAAACTATTTCCTCTTATTCTGTTGCTACATGCCCTTATAGAAAGCCCCTCTCCAACTTTCCTGTAAGCCCCCAAGTGGTACTGGAAGGCTGTTGTGAGGTCTCCCAGGAGCCTTCTCTGGGCTGAAGGTCCTCAGCTTTCTTAGCCTGTGTCTGTAGGTGAGGTGCTCCTGCCTTCTGGTCATCATCATAGCTCTCCTCTGCAGCCACTCCAATAGCTGTGTCCTTCCTGTGTTAGAGGTCCCACAACTGATGCAGTACTCCAGTTGGGCTCTCACGAGAGAGGGGCAGAATCTTAACCTTGACCTGCTGGTCATGTTTCTGTTGATACAGTCCAGGATACAGTTGGCCTTCTGGGCTGCAAGTACACACTGCCAGCTCATGTTGGGACTTTCATCAACAAACACCCCCAAGCCCTTTTCTTCAGGGCTGTTATCGTTATCGGGTGATGTAAAAAGATGGTCCCTGCCATGTCTATTAGCTCCATTAAATACTAGAGGGCCCCAGTGAGGTCTCCCTGAATCCATTCCTTCTCTCATCTGAAAACAAGCCCAGCTGCCTCAACCTGTCTTTGCAGGACAAATGCTAGGGAATGGAGAGCTCTTGTCCTTAAAGAGCTGCCATCTCTGTTCTGTTTCTGTGTCCGTAAAGACAGCTTCCCAGAAAATCTCATCCAGGGTCTTGACAACTTTTTGCTGGGAGTGTATTCCTCAAGACCAGAAACTCAACTGGGGCATTGTTGTTATAGCCTAGACCATGTAAGATAATCTTTAACCTAGTCCAGTGTGTTAAGTGCTGTCAGGAAGTTCTGAGTAACTAGCTTCAGAACTCTTGTAACTTTAATTCATTTTGTGTAAAACAAAAATAGTTCTCCTACTGGGGTATTGTAAATGAGGCTTTTGGGAAGAGTGGCTAGTTTGTTTTACAAATGGATAATTGTTAGCTGTAGACCTAAGGCAGAGACTGGAGTTGTCTGTAAGGTGTAACACAGGTGATTTATTTCACAGGACTGTATTTTCTATACTGTTTATTTTTTGTTGTTGTGGAGCCATTGTGCTTCTGTGCAGAAATTGTGTTGCTGTCCTTACATGGAAAGACCAGTTAGGGATCCTAAATACTTATCCATGTTTCTATTTAGGTCTTCTTTTGTGATACTGTCTCAGATTTTAAAACTGTTTCCCAGCAGTGCTGTTAAATGTTCCCACTGTTTTATTGTCATTTGTTACTGCTCAGAGGCTGAGTATTAACAGAAGTAACGTGTGTACCCAATTCTAGGATTTGCTTCTTTGGCTTCATGAGTACCTTTTTGTTTTTGACAGATACATTGAATACATGTGTGACATGATGGCTGAAGAGCCCATTATTCCTCACAGCAAGCCAATCCTGGTCAGATCCATCATTATGACTCCAGTTCCTCTTTTCAGTAAGCAGCGCAATGGCTGCAGGCCTTTTTGTGAAGTTTATGTAGGGGATGAGAGAGTAACCACTACCTCCCAGGAGTATGACAAAATGAAGTAAGTACAGGTTATGAAAACTGTATGTTTTATTTTTCTGTAGAAAGTTTGTCTTTTCTACGAGAGAAAGACATTTTTGGTTGTGCCAGTAGAGTAGGAAGCTTCTGGAAAAGCTCCTAAATCCCATTTTAGTTGATCATGAAAGGTTAATCATGTGCTTATTAAAAAATACATCACGTGGTTATAATAGAAGCATGGAGGTATCTCCACAGAATGGGTGAGTGACAGTGAGGTGGCATACTGCACTGTGGGCTTCAGGAGGAAGAATGGAACAAGACCCTTCATGTATTGTACCCCAGGGATCAGACTTCCCATTTTGCATGTAGTTGTTGTGGGGATATACCAGCACCACTAAAACTGAACTTCACAGTGCAGTCATGAAAAACAGGAAGCATTCATCAACCATAGGAGCACTAAGGAAAGTGCTTCATGCCACTAGCTGTGGTATAGCTCTTCCATTGCAGTGCATCACTGCAAGTGCAAACAGTGCTGTGCAATTCTAGGTAATAGTCACAGATGGAAGAAAGAGGGGTGAATACCAAAGTCCTTCTAACTTTCCTATAATTTTAAGCCCAGTAAAGAGATGTCATCAACTTGTAAAGTGTGAGAATGAAACTGTTGTGGGGTATGTTCACCTTTTTTTTTTTTTTTTTTTTTTTTTTCTCCCTACCATTGTTCCTAAGTGGGAATCCTTAGTAGTAGCAGTGTCATGAAGCAGGACAGCTGCAGTTTCTTTGCACCTTTCCTTGTCCACTATATGAACAGTCATATTCATAATATCTTGTTTGTCTTGTCCTTTGCCTTAGCTGTGCTCTTGCATTTTCCAGCAGCTTCTTAAGTGTGTCTCTCCTGCTGTGGACAGCTGCTGTTTGTTAGCTTCCAGCTTTTAGAACAGTTTTTTTTTTTTTTTTAAGTTGCTTAGAGTGAATCCCTTTGTTGGCGGTAAGAATTTTGAGTGGAGTTTATGGGTTGATGTTAAAGGTCTTGGAGAAAGCAAACTGAATGTAAGGAAATACACAATTTCTCTAGACTAACAGAGGATATGCTTTTTCCTCAGGGAGTTTAAAATTGAAGACGGGAAAGCTGTAATTCCATTGGGTATAACAGTACAAGGAGATGTTCTCATTGTTATCTATCATGCGAGGTCAACACTGGGAGGACGACTACAAGCCAAGGTAATGGCAAATTTAACTGCCTATGTCAAGGGCTTATTTTTCCTTTGTGCAGTTTGTGTTGTAGGTATATTTGGAATCTCAGTAAGTACACAGCTTTATTTACTCTTCTTTTTATTCAAATAAGTGTTTTGTGCCTTGTGCTTAGGAATTCAGTTTAACAGGCCTGATATATATGTCCATTTTCTTTGTAGTGCTCTCTGTGATGCTTTAGTAAGCATTTCTACAAATTAGATTTACAGTGGTAGTTACTACATTTGTGTGGAGAGCCTCTAGCCATTTTTCAAATTTTTTCAATCTCATCCAGAAAGGTGCACAGGAGGACAGAACTTCTTAATACTGTATAAATAAGCTTCAACACAACCAAAGGAAAATGCCACTCACTACAGAAGTGGAATTCCAGGGACTGTTCATATGAAACGGTCCGAAAAAAATAAAAATTAAAAAAAATTGTGTGGTATTGTACCCTTAGAGCCAGTTTATGTTTTATAGCATATTTTCTTACTGGTCTTTCCTCTTCCAGAAATAATGCATGTTTCTTTTTTAATTAAAAAAAGAAAAAATCTAATATATTAGAAGATCACAAAAAAACTTGAAAACAAAGTCTGTTTTCACATTACTAAAAATGAATCGTATGCCCCTCTCAGAAATTAAACCTGAGGGTCTGTGTAAAAGATTGAAAGATGTAGTGGGAAGTTTAAGATAATCTGGAGCATTGTGGAAATGGATCCAGAGGATTTTCAGGCAGTACTACAGTTGGAAAACACATGGGGCAGACATGTTATTACTGCACTAGAAGTTTTTCTCTACATTTTCTTTTAACTTTGTATGTAGGAGTACAAAATCCTGTCATTTGCAGAGATTGAAGGTGGGTGAAAAATTCAGCCAAGGTTAGCTTATTTTTGTTCATTTTCAGTGTCAGTTTCACGGCTAATAACATTAACACCTATTTGTTGTTTTTTCTGACTTATTCACTAATTGGAAAAATACAAGAATTCTCTTGTCTGTTATAACACATGATACATCAACAGTGTTTGTAATGAGCTTGACTGGGAGCTTTGATGCAACAGTATTCAGTGTGTTCTTTGTGTTACATACAGTAACTTTTTCCCTGAAGCTCTCTGTGTCTAGTCAAATGGTCCTGCCTCCTGCTTAAACGGGCACCAGACCTGGCTGTTCAGGCAGCTTCTGAATGTCTCCAAGGGGAGACTGCCCTCTTTGGGCACCTGCTCAACAAATAAGTGCTCACTGATGCACAGGAAAAGGGCACTCTTACAGTGTCCTTCTAAACATGTTACTTCTAAAACTGTGCTGAACAGAGCTGTATCTTTGATTTGTATTTCTTGGTTGGTGTATTGCATGTTGAGTTTCTTTGAGTATGTTATTCTGAAAAGTGTAATAAAGGTCATAGCATTTCAGGCTTTACGATGCTATCTAGAAACATTTGACAAACTGTGACAATCTGAGGTTAGTGCAGAGTCACTCCAGGTAGAGTATACAAAGTAGAAAAATGAATGCTGAAATAACTTTTACAGAAATCCTTAGCTTCAGGTTAAGTACAGAACACAGTGTCTCTGCTTGTGAACTTATGTAGTTTCCCTATTTTTTGTTTCCAACAGATGGCTTCTATGAAGATGTTTCAGATTCAGTTCCACACAGGTTTTGTGCCCCGAAATGCCACCACAGTGAAATTTGCAAAGTAAGTTGACCCCTTTTTTTGTAGGGAATTTGGAAGAAGTTTTCTTTCAGATTTATCCTTCCAAACCAGCAGATGCGGTTGGGGAGGAGTAGTTTACTTCTCTTGCGATACAGTGAGTTCTTCTGCTTTCTTATCTCAAGGAAGCTGAAGGTCTTCTTCACAAAACAACAAGATTCTTCTAAATACTACTTCTTTAAGATGTACAGAAATCTACTGAAATATGTAAACAAGTACAGCTTACTTTTTAGCCCTATACTGAGAGCTTTGAAGTTCTGTCATCCGTTCATCAGCCTCATGAATTAACCTGTATACGTTTCTGCAGGTATGATCTGGATGCCTGTGACATTCAAGAAAAATATCCTGATTTATTTCAAGTCAATCTGGAAGTGGAGGTGGAGCCCAAAGATAGGCCTAGCTGTGAGCAGCTGCCATGGGATAACATGAATATAAAGGGACTGAATCCCAAGATCCTTTTCTCCACTCGAGAGGAACAACAGGAAATTTTATCAAAATTTGGTAATTTATTTAGAGAAGCTGATAAAATTGCTAATAACTTAGTGGTTGAGAGTTGCATTCTGGTTGGTTTCTGACATTCCTTTAAATGCAATTTCAAAAAGCTTCCAATGCATGAAGGATTATAATTTGTCCTCCAGTAATAATCTGTGCTTACAGTATAGAAAGCATGATAGAGGTTATCATGTAAGTTATTGCAGATAATGATATTGCAAGAATTCATAGCTCTTGCTTGTTTTAAAGGGTAGTAGGTGGTACGAATGAGCTGTTAATTATTTTAAAACTACTTTACTTTCCCTACTTTAAAATAGGCACCTATACGTTTCTGCAGGTATGATCTGGATGCCTGTGACATTCAAGAAAAATATCCTGATTTATTTAGGTCCCTATTTTAAACTACAGCATTAATAAATCAAACTTACAGCAAAACACTTAGTAGTTTTTGTAGTTGAAATAAGGTTACTATTGCTATATTCAAGCCAGAAAGATTTGGACTTTGTTCTGCCATAGCAATCAGGACCTACAAGTCAGATATCAGCTACTACAAACAAGATTGAGTTTTAGTTTTTCTATTGGGATCCTAGTTTAAAATCTATTTTTTAGGGAAACCGGAGCTACCAAGGCAGCCAGGTTCAACTGCGCAGTATGAAGCAGAAGCATCCCAGCTGGATCTGTCCTCAGAAAGTGCCCCAACTGAGACAGAATCCCCACACAGCAGTGGTACTGATGCAAATAACTTCTTTCATTCTCTGGAATGGAAAGGTACATGTTGATCTCTGAAGTTACCATCACTTTTTTCTTGTATGCCTTCCAGTGAGCACTGCAGTTGTTCCTTAGGTACTCTTTTGCAGTGAAGTTCACTATTTTGTCAGACAAAGAGGAAAAAGGTATTTGAATAGTGAACTGTGCATGCTAGCACATGAAAAGTCAACTTCTTTTGGGTAAACACTAAGTATGTTTTTTTTGTTATACATAACTTAAGTGCTGACCTATGTTTTTCTTTCTGTGTAAAAATTTTAACCTTAATGGTCTGCAAGGAAACATTTATATTCCCACAGCTTCATTTTAGGCTGTCTAAGAAGCACAAGAAACAAAGAGTAGACGGTGGTGTTCAGATAAGCATGTGCAGACTGAGGAAATGTAACGATGTGGTGCATACGTAAGTCCATTTTCTGGGCTCTCCTCTGCTGGCAAACAGTAACTGCTTGTGTCACCATCGAATGCTGTCTGAGAATGGGGCAGCAGTTACTGAGCAATGTTCCAAGCCGTAAGTGGTATCATGTCCTGCAGTGATTGTCCAAGTCAGTGCTGTTTTGAAAGTGTGAATATTGACTTACCTTACGCAGTGGTAAGCGTGGTAGTTTTTCTCATTTTTTCAAAGTATGCATCACAATTTTCTAATTCTTTGTAGCTAGAGAAGCCCATCTGTTAACTTGGATAATCTGAACTGGAAGAGTGTAAGGTGCTCCTTTCCCTGTTCTGTGCAAACAGGTGGTACCTGACAGTTTTTTCCATCCCTCTTTGTAAGACTGTTTACCATAAGGATTGATTTCATGTATTCTTGCCATGTAAGTCTGACATACCTTTGAAAGAAGAATTCTAGTAATCCGGTGCTATTATTTCATTTTATTCAAGAAGGAAAAAGTCCAGAAAGTGGAGTAGATGATAACTCGTCTAAAAATGATCATGTTCAACTGTCTGATGAGAGAGAAGAGAGTGATCCTTCAGATGAGGAGTTCCCTACATTTCCAGGTGAAGAAAGGGCAGTAACTGTTGATGAAGGAGACTCTGTTGCCCCAGAAGGAGAGATGCTTTTTGAAGCTGGTTTTGAATCTCCACCTACACTGTTACAAAAATCTCTCACTGAAGAGAATGTAGATTTATTGGGACTGAATTCTGATACTTCAGCAGAACTGAAACAACCTATCTCAGAAATAAACTCATCAAGTAATGCAGCCTTGTTGAACAATCTTTTTGTGAGTAGTGCATCACAAGTTTCAGAAGAGCCCACTGGAGATCTCCTTGGGCAGGGAACAGATTTCTTTTTCAGCGGTCAGTCTCAGCATCCACCTGCTACTCAGAAGACATCAGCAGCAGCTGTGTCTTCAGGTATGTAAATTTAACATTAATATTCTGCTGGTCACCTGGTAAAAACTGCTGCCTCTGTTGTGCTTAGGAAACAATTACCATGTTTGATACATACAGTGAAGACATGTTGATCTATAGCAAAAGTCTGACAAAAATTGGCATTTTTAGTACTTGCAGCTGACAGATACTGTACATTATCCATGTATGCTGTGCTTCTAATATCTTAGCAGCTTTAATGTAAACAAAAGAGTGTAACTTTTTGAGTTTAAAGCAGGTTCACCAGTCTTAAAGATGAACAATTTTCCTGTGCAAATGTTACATATTAAATCTTTTTCTAGATCCATAATGTAAGCAGATTCTCTCGGTAAAACAAGAATTGTAGAAACCAGCAGCTTTCTTGCTCTCCATGTAGAGTGGTTGCATTAGATGTAGTAGAGCTGTTCTGCATAGGTCAAAAGGCTGTGTGGTATTTTTGAATGTTAATCAGATAAGACTGCCAGGCAACTGGAAATCCTGTAGCTTACTGTTCAAACCAATATCATAATGCTACTGCTAAAAGCTGCTTTCTTGTTGCTTTTCCTGATGTTGTTAGCAGGTTTGTATCAGGAAGGAGAATGTTACTCTTACCTAACCTGTATTTAAAACAGTGTTTGTCTTACCCAAAGCTTTATTAAGACTTTGGCTTATGGCTTTGGCACTTGATTGAATTTTTGAGAGTAGTAACTTTCAGCCTCAATTTGCTGAAAGACTTCTAGGAGTATTAGTCATTCAGGGTAACTATTACAAGCCTTAGTTATACAGAGGTATATATTCAGGGCATTTGGGAGATTTCAAATATTTCTTCTGTAGTAATCTCTTGAACTGTGTTACTGTGGTCAGAGAGGAATCAGTTTACCTTTTTTACACAGGCAGAAGTCTGTGAAAGAAGTTTATTTATATATCTCTGAAAACATGAAGCAGACATGAGAAGTAACAATTTCTCATTCTACAATTGGTTAAGAAGAGAAGTGAGAATATTTGACCATTGTTTCAGCTAGTACATCAAACTCCTATGTGAAACTTTGTGCATATCTGTTGCTGTGCTTCGGTAAGAGTGCTTGTACTCATGAGAGGTCAGGGTTTGTTTCTTGAAGTGTTACTGAGTCCTGTATGATGATCATTGCTTCAGGATGTGCTAGGACACTGTGGCAGGATTATTCTTCCTCATTGGCAAATCTGGCAGGAGTCCCTGGGCTCCTGCGGATTTTGACCATACAGGGCAGCAGTAACAGCAAGATCTTAAGCTGTGATTCCAGCTGACTGTCACGTGTTATCCCATGCTGACTATAAATGCCCTTCCCATTAGTTTTTTCTTCACTGTGATTGCTAAGGAGCTGTTGAAAGTGTTGCTTCTTGTTGGCTTTTGTTCTTGCGTTGATGTACTTTCTGCCCTAAAGCTACCAATGCCTTCAAGTCAAAATGGTAGTATGAATGCTTTAATTGACTTTTTTTTTCCAGTAGTTTAATAGTCTGTTCTGTTAAAATTTTTTAGAGACTTGCATTATATATAACTTTTTAAACAAATATAATGGTTTATGTACAACTGATCTCTTGTATTGAAGTATGTCTTGCATGAAGGAAAATAATGAGATGATTGAATATAGCAGCTTTACTAAGGATTTGTTAAGGACATAGTATCTCAGCCATGCACAGTAGAAACAGCTTTCATGTTGCTATAGAAAGTGTCAGCATCTGGTAACAAAGATAGAATGGTGACTTCAACAGAAAAACTCAGCTGGGGCTCCTTTAGTTGCTGGTGTAGTTCTGCTTCCTGTCTTTGTGCCTGAAGGAGTAAAGTACTTTTTCTATATTGTTTTTCCTAAAATTTGTTGTAATTCCATTTTTTGCTTCTTTTTTAGCCGATCCTTTTGACCCATTTACAATGTCATCTAGTTCTGAGAATTCAGCGCTGTCTGGCCCAGACCTTTTCGGGGACTTCCTTAATCCAAGCACAACATCTACAGCTAATACGTTTCCTTCTGGTTCACTTCCACCTTCTTCCAGTTCAGATTTCCTAAATTTAGGTAAGTGTACTTCCAGTGTTCTGTTTTGCAGCAGTTTCTGCTGCTCTGTGCATTTGTCTTTTGTTGTAGTCAAGGTGGGTTAGCGTTTCAATAGATTTGCTCATTGTGACCACTAGCTCCATGTTCTTGTAACAGATGCACGTGTACCAAGCTGCAAGGTCTTCCTGTACAATATATTGTAATATTTATGACGCAAGGGGATTTCTAGAATTGCTGACCTCCTGTTAGGAGCTGGATTTTCCCCCAAGAGCTCTTAAAACTTAAGGGTTTTAAGCAATCACAAATTACAGCATTCTGTTGTCTACATAGCATTTTGAATGTTTTGAGATTTCAGTCTTTCTGAAAGTCTTTGAAAAGAACTGAGTGATTCAAGCAAGCTATGGTATAACTAGATCTTAAAATACAAGCTGAAGCTATCTGGAACCTTCTTGACCCGCATGTGTCCTGATAATACTTACAAGATACATTATGTAATGCTCTAATCTTATTTGCTTCCTTTGATTCCTGATGGATTCTTGACGAAGCCTTTTATTCATGTACTTATTCTGAAATCTATTTATCCTTAAACAGAAGGCTTTGTAATACGTTGCTTCTTTCCCTATTTCCATCCTACACATGTATGTCTGAAATGTTGTTAAATAGAGCGTCTATGCATGCTCATTATTTAAAGAAATATGCCGTTATAAAAATGATGGTGTCACAGAGCCAGAGGTGTTACTTATTTCATTTTCTTTTGAAAGAAAAGGAGCAACTACATGGTTATACTGTGACCCGTTAGTCAGCATTTATCCAAATCAACAAAAATAGAATTTGTAAAGCTATTTGTCTTCCATTACTCCTAGAAACGAGGATAGGAGCACAATAAAAATAAAGGGCTACCGATTAGAACAGGTGTTTTCAGAAGGATGGCAGGATGTGTAAAGGAGCTGTAAGTGGTTAAGATTTGATGGTATTTTGAATAAGAATGGAAAAATTGTCTTCTACAATTTTTTCAGTTGCTGTGCTTTGAAAACACATAACTCTAACTCAGATGGCTGATTTCTAAATACTGATTTTTTTATTTTTTTAATTACTGATTTCTAAAATATCTTCTTAGCTGCTTAGGATTAATTTTCCTTCATTTATAGAAGATACTCTTTGCAGAGACCGTGATGGGTTAACCTTGGCTGTCTGCTAGATGCCCACAGCTTTGCTCTTGTTCCCTCTCACCCAGAGGAAAGTGGGAGAAAATAAGCTGGAAAAAATTCAGTGACTGAGTTAAAGGAAGATCACTTACCAGTTACTGGGTACAGGCTTGTTTTAGGAAAGACCAGTTTATTATTAATTAAAAATACAGTTGGATAGTAAGAAACAAAGACCGTCCCCTTGCCTCACTTCTTTCTGGTCTCAACTTCACTCTTCCATTCCTGACACTTCAGCCTCCTTTTCCACACAGAGAGGGATGGGAGCTACTTTGCTGCTGCTTCTTCCTCTCACAGTTACCGTGCATGGGCTCCTCCTTGCAGCATATGGTTCTTCTTACAGAATATAGTCCTTCATGGTTTGCTGTAGCGCACATCCTTCCCATGCACTGCAGTTCTTTACAAACTGCTCCACCATGAGACCTTTCCACACAGTACTGTCCTCCATGAGCATGCAGCTCCCACAGCCCTCCTGCCCCACTGTAGGTTCCATTCCACAGGCTGCAGCTCTGGCCTGGGGCTGCTCCTGTGGGGACGCTCCTTGGCTGTACCTCCTCCGGGCCCCATGCAGTGCTGCTCTGGAGGCTCCTCCTCGAGCTGCATGTGGAGATCTGCTCTCGTGTCCTCTGTAGGCTGCAGGGCCTAGAGAACTTGCATCACCATGTTGTCAGGACGCATCCTGAGGTGGGTCTGTCCAGTACAGGGAAATCTCTAGCCTCTTCTCACAGAGGCAAACCCTTGTGACAAAGTCTTGCCATGCAGGCACAATACAGACATTAAATAAAGTGTGTGCTGTCAGGAATAACAGGACAGGATAATATTGTTCTTCAGAACTGCATTGCTTCTTAATGAAGCTGTATTTAGGAACTGTGATATCACATTCCTCAGTCCTGACTCTAAGAGTGTCTTCTTCATATAGCTTGTATGCAGTTTTGAGATGCCTTTCCTAGTAGAATAGATGTAGTTGGCTCTACCTCTGTCTGATGTAGTCCTGAGTGTTAGCTACAGAGAAATTGGGTAAAAAGACACAATACTTGCTTGGCTTAAGTAAAGGCTCTCTTTTAGATAAAAGACTAGCAATGTAAATACTGTCTCTACCATCAGTTTAGGAGTTATGCTGCTTTTGTGATTGGTTCTGCCAAGAAGATCCCTCTTACTGCTTCATTTGCAAAGTGTTCATTTCTATAAAGAAAGTAATAGATGCATGTTTTAGTTGTGTAGTTGTCAGTTGTCACTTAGGCCAATATTGTGGTCAAAGTTGCTTATAGTTACTAAACATAGTGATTTTTTTTTAACTGTTAAAAGATTTCTAAATTTCAACACTGATCTGTGAAACATAGCGTTCACTATAATCTATCTCACTTCAGAAGCAGTTTATTCTGGTGATTGTCTAGTTGATAGCTCAAAACATGGTTAAGTAGAGCAAGCTGCCCAGAACTGTGTCCTTTCTGATTTGTATATTTTGATCTCCAAGTGCTGACTCTACAGCCTGTCTGGGCATCTTATGCCTGTGACTGCTTTTACAGGAAAGAGAACAGTGTTGAAATTGAGCTTTCTGTTTTTCAGTCTATGCCCATTTGCCTCCTGGCATTCCAGTTGGGCAGTGCTGACATGAGTCTGTCTTTTTCTTCTGAAATCTCTCACCCCTAACCCTCTTCCGCTTAAGTAATGCCAGTACACTTAGCCATTCTTCGGAGACAGGTCTTCAAAGCCCTAACTGGCAGAACCCTCTTTCATACAAAATGTAAGGTACTCAAATGGTAATTTCTGCACTCTAAATATTTATCTGTGGACCAAAGGAGACTACCAGTGTGTTTTGTTGTCTGTAACATTTGAACAAGTATGGAAGGAAGAAAATATTTTAAGATACCCACCTTCTATGCTTGATGTTCTGTGTTTTGTTTCTCTGACTTTGGTGATAGCTTTTACCCTCATAAATGTGTTAGGCTGTCCAGTATTTTAATATAGTTTGTAGAGGTTTCTGTCAACATATGCAAAATATGCTAAAAATGCTCTCATCCTCAGTTTACTGTTATGCATTTCCAAATATTTTTGAGTTACTGAAACCGTTTCTATGCAGGCTTTCAGAATTCATGTGGAAATTGAGAAATTGGGTAGCATTTCATTTTCTTTCAGTTTACCTTTTAAATGACAGCCCTTCTGTGTTTTAAGCTGAAATTGAGTATGTATTTGAGCCCTTAATGTTCTACGCAGTCACAGGTACAGTCACAGGTATTAATTTTAATGTGAAAATGAAGAATACTAATAGTTACTGCTTTTAATATGAATGAGTGAGAAGATAATTGCTAGTTAGCATTGAAAAAGAAACTGCAAAGGAAGGTGTTCACTTAAATGACAGGCCTGGAAAAATTGTGTGGAGAGAGTAGAGGAAGGTGCAAACACTGGTTGGTGAATTGAGAAAAGTATTAAACCCATTAAAAATAAATTGGTAACATCACTGTTGGATAGGGTGAATCTCTTGGGGTAGATGTAATTGTCTAGAATTATAGATAAATGGATAAGCTTTACTTGGTAGTAAACAATTACTACACTTGTATAGTTATCAGGAGAAAAGCTGATCTTTGATGATTAAAATGACTAAAATTTTTGACTTATTTCTCAGTGTAGCATAAAATTTTAAAGAGCTTTAAAATGTAATCTGAATTTATAGGAGATACTTAGAATCATAGAATTACCAAGGTTGGAAAAGACTTCCAAGATGATCCAGTCCAACTGTCTGCCTATCACCAGTGTTTCCCATAAGCCGTGTCCCTCAGTACTGCATCTAAGCATTTCTTGAACACCTCCAGGAACAGTGACTCCACTACTCCCTGGGCAGCCCGTTCCAGAACCTTCTCTCGTGGAGTTTTTCCTTACATCGCAACTGAATCTTTGCTGGCACAACTTGAGGCCATTCCTTCTCATGCTATTGCAAGTTATATGCTTGAAGAGGCGGACTCCCACCTCATCTCAACCTCTGTTCAGACAGGTGTAGAGAGTGATAAGGTCACCCCTGAGCCTCCCCTTCTCCAAACTGAGCAATCCCAGCTTCCTCAGCTGCTCTCCATAAAGCCTGTGCTCCAGACCCCTCGCAGCTTTGTTGCCCTTCTCTGGATGCACTCCAGGATATCAGTGTCTCTCCTGTAATTGAGGGGCCCAAAACTGAGCACATCTCTCAAGGTGCGGCCTCCCCAGGGCTGAGTACAGAGGGACAATCGCTGCCCTGCTCGTGCTGGCTGCACTCATTCTGATACTTTCAAAAGAATATATGGTCAGTTAAGATATTACAGGACAGAATATAAAAAAATATTGATCAGTTGCTACTAAAAACATCAGTGTGGCAAAAGGATTTTTGGTGTAAATCTTTCTTCACTTGACAGAGAAGCTAGGATATGAGATGGCTGTTCACTTCAGTTTAAGAGCAGGTTATCAGTTCTTGAGTGGCCACACTTAAAATACCGAACTATTTTCAATGGAAGGACGCGTGTCCATTTTTCCTTAGTAGGTAATTGTTCAGTGAGCATTTCTGAGAACTGAATTGGTTTGTTTGGATGCAAAAGTAGGTAATCTTTAATGGAAATCTGACTCCTGTGAGTATGAGTTTGCCTGGTATTTAAAAAAAAAAAACAACAGGCATGAGACATGGAAAGTGATCAGAAGAAACCTGCATGATCAGTGTGGCTTTCTCCTCTGGTTTCTGTGGTGACTGTGCTCTTAGTCAGACTCTAAGCAAGCTTAAATGTGCATCATATAAGCAAGGCTCTTGGTTCATACAAAATCCTGTTGTCATCAGTGATTAAAGGATTTCCTGTGATGACAAGTTAAATAAAGAAAACCTAATGTATAGTTGAGTAGTTTATAATAAAAGGTAGGTATCTTATTTTGGGAGATGACTTTTAAGTCTGAAGAGGGCAAAAAATTTTGCTGTCCATTCAGCAGACTTTAACAGCTGTGCAATATCTTTTGTTCCAATGTCTTTTACATGCAGCTGCAAACTTCTGTAATAGAGGCTGTCAGCAGGTATTTTTGTAGAGCATCTGGTGTGTTCTTTATGCAACTGGAAGGTCGAAGTGTTACTTTCTAATTGAATTAGACAGTGAATTGTAGTGGTGAAAGTGCTATTTAAGAAGCTTCCAGTTATTTCCTTGAACAAGGTCAACTAGCCTGTGTGATTTGGTATCAATATTTAGAATGTAATGTTGAGAGGCTGAGAGAAGTAGAGAGAAGTAGAAAAGCCATAAAATAGATAAAACATTCCAAAGTATCAAGATGTCCCTATTCAGGTAAGAAAGTCTGGGTTAATGTTCTAAATTGTAGGTATTTGAAATGTTTTACAGAAATACCATCTCTTGCTGTAGCACTGACTGTTGACATAGAAGTAAAAGAAAAGGTTCAGTCAGTATCTAAGCTGCCTTAGGGGTATCTACAAGGTGTGCTTCAAAAAAAGGTGCTCAGTTTCAAATACCTCCATATGGTTCACTTCAGATATTGTGTGTGAGAAGGGGAGTGATCACTTGCAAGGGCCATGGTGGCAGTTACAAACCTGTGTTGAAGGGGTAACTTTACAAATTAATGATAGCACCACTGCATGCAACACAGGCGGTCTGTTTTCAGCTGATGTGGTGGTCTGGCTTTGCACATAGAAAAGTGCATTTTATTCACTAAACTAATGATTCTCCTAATCTTTCTATGGAAGAGGCCATTCTAGCAATATTCTCATGATCAGTGCATTCATGAAGATACTGACCCTAAGAGGGCTCTCAGTGTTGTTTTTTTGTTTTCTTTTTATGAGCTTGCTTTGTCCTGCAAGACCTGGTGTAGCAGATCCACATGTTGCGGTGGCCCTGCTCCAGCTGTGTAACATCTGGGCTGTTCAGAGAATAGAACGTTGTTTCATAAGACATTGATGCTTTTTGGTTACCCGCTATGTTGGCAGAAACAGGAGTGTGCTTTGTAGCATTCCGCACACCTCTGCTGTTGAACTCATATCATTGTCTGGAATGAAGCTCTCTATGAAGTTGTTGGGATGTTTGAAATTCAGTTAAAGTAATTCAGTTGCAAAGCACTCCTTACTCCTGTTTAAGAACACATAATTTGTTATGGGGATTTAAGCTAGCTTTGTAATTGGCCAGCTGAAAAACTTGTAAGCTTTATTGGTGTTGGCAAAAATATTCTTTTTTTTGTGGCAGTTTTCTTAAAAGAATAAAAATGGATATTTTCTTCTACAGGAAATTTGGCACCAGAGCCACCTAAAATATCATCTTCTACAAGCCATCCAGATCTCTTAGGTGGATGGGATTCTTGGGCAGATTCTTCAGCAGCCAGCAATGTATCAGCACCACAGTTGAAGTCTCTTTTTGAAGGTAGAATGAATTAAATTCTTCCACTAGAGGGCATAAGAAACACTCCAAACTTCATCACTTTAGCGAGCTGAAACTGCTAAACATGTCTGCGCACCTTTTGGTTTGTTTCTTAAAGAAGTCTTTGCTCTTGTGCTTGAAGCCTCTCTTTAAAGTAGAGGCACTTTAGATTTTCAGAGCTCAAAGGCATAGGAACCAAATAGCTTCAGCTGCCTGTAGCAATGGTCATTCCTCTCATGAGAAGAGATGTTATAGCAGATTGCTGAGGTGTATATGAGGAATTGATTAAATAGTACTTCTATTCATTTTCTCACTTTCCAAATACTCTTACGTATATTATGTGTTTTCACACTATACAGGTCAAGTTTTTACCACAGGGAGCCAGTCCAGTGTGTCTTCAGGTTCATCCTTCAGTCAGGCTAAATCTCAGAACTTTGATCCTTTTGCTGATCTTGCCAATCTTGGATCTAGTCTTCCAGGTAAGATTTTACTTTTGTAAGTCTGAACTTAATGTTTCTCTTGTTCCTGATTTGCTCCTTGTTCCAGTAAGTGTAATTGGCAGCTTGTGTAAAGATAGCTTATATAAAGTTTCCTTTTCAGTGGTAACAACAAGCTTCATGGAGTTACTGAAAGCAGATAAATAGTAGGAAAAGAGGGAGCCTTTGCAGAGATGGTTTGAAACTTACAAAATATTGCAGAAGATAACTACAACTGTGGTTTAGAAACGTTATGCAGCTTGCTTGTGTAATCTAGTTGAGAAGGTAGCAGAAACCATGTGTCCCTGATTCAGTAACTGATCATGGGATTTCTTATCTAACGCTGTGGTTAATGTGCTGTGAAGGATACAAAATGGAAAGCTTAATCAAATTCCTTTTATTTTGGTCCTAACTAAGAAGAAAGAATAGTCAGTTCAGTACTTCTGTTTGAATTCAGTGGGCTTTCATAGCTCTGCTGCTCAAATCAGTCATGTTTGGGCCTGATTTGTGTTTGTCATAAACACGCAATTCCATCAGCGTTATAAACATTTGCCAATTTGCAGTTGTGTACAAGATGGAACGCACCCCAGAGTAATACTTGTCCTAGGATGTTGTATTCACATAAACTCATGAATTAGCCCAGGGATATTCGTGAACAGCAGAAAAAATAAAGGCAATGAAAAGAGCTGAAGTCTTTGATTTTTCAGTGTCGCACTGCCATTGCTAATGGCCAATTGGTGGCTGTTTAATGTGACTAGCTGCCAAGAATCCAAGAAATGGCTTGGTGCAGAGTGTAGTTGCTGAGTTGCAGAAATGTGCTTTTCCCCTTAGCTCGAAGGTGGCAGACTTTTGTTGCTGTGGCTGTTAGTATTGCACATTCAGTATGCCCATGGTGAAATTACCTTATTTAAGTACAAGGTAATGTGCAGTATTTGGCTATTCTGCTGCCTTGCAAAACTCTTAATGCTGAAGCATTATCCTTAAGGCTGCTCTACATTGAACAGTTTGCAAAAGTATTCTGGTTCAGCCATTTCAGATAAATATGTACTTGCTATCATGATAGTGTGAGTAAAACATTCCTTTTGTGTTTGACTTAAAGATATGATGCACAGTGAACTAGTGGAGAAAACTGTGCTGATACTGGAGTTAGTTCATTAATCTTGCAGATAGTTTTCAATAGGATGAATGACTACATACAAAAATGGCCAGATGTAATAGGTCTAGTTGGTCTTAAGCTTGAAATGAATTTTTGAGGAGGCATAATACCTGCAGTTTGAACTCACTATTGTCTTTTCATAGGAGTTTTTGGACTTCCAAGTAATTAGTCTGAAAGGTGTTATGCAAGTGAACACTCCTTAATTGGGAATGCTATGTAAAAAAACAGTAGCTAAGGATGATTACAGTGTTATGCTAATAGTAAGGTATGAGTTATCTGTGATAACTGGTCTTAACACACTCTATTTCTGGTAATGATCTTGTATCAGAAAGTAGGAATATGCTGTTTAAAAACTTGTTGCTGAAAGTCAGGCACTGGTTTGCAGTACAGGAAGAACTGGTTGGCCTTGAAGACTAAAATAACATAGAATGATTTGAATGAGCAGTAGAATGAGTTTACTTCTTAGAGTGCAAGGTCATGAGCTTTGATAGCTGTGGGGCTTGTTTTCTGTAAATTTCATAAGGTGAAGTGACCGAAGATTAGAGTAACTCAAAGCAGTTCTTCAGTGAGGTGCTTCTTGTGGGGGGAATTTTGTCAGGTGATGTGTTACAGTAACAGGTTTTACCAGGTGAACTATTCAGAGGTATAGGATGGTATTTCTTATTTGGCTCTGGGGAGACATTGGTTTTTTTGAGCTGTTTCTTGTAGCTGCTAGTCACAGCAGTGTATTACTGGGGAGAGGAGAGATGTGGGAGATCACTGGGAAGATAAGTTTACATTGCTGTGTCCAGACAGAGAAGCTTGGGTGATTTTTTTTTTATTTTTTTTTTTAATTTTGAATTTTTAGGGCAAATAAAAAGGGAGAAACAAGAACAAGTGAATTTAAACTGGCCTGGAATTGGTTTGAGCTGAAAATTAAGTTCTAATCAGCAGCAGCTGGTTAAAAAGACAGTTAGAGATGGAAATACAAATTGACTTTCTTCAGCAAGTGAGACTGGATCATAAGCTTGTCATTCAGTACTGAGTGATCAAAGAAGGCTTCCCATCTTTGAAGTAATAGTGTTTTATTCACATCAAGCTTAATGGCTGGTTTCCTGTTTGTGTAAATGTATTTGACCACTGATCTGGAATTTGTTTTGTTATTTTTAGGAAATTATTCAGAGATAGAAGTTGCTTTCTGCTTTGGAGTATCATAAGTGTGAATGTGGAATGTTTCCCTTACAGGAAAATTTAGGTGTGTTTAAATTCAGCCGTCACACTATTTTTTTCCCTATGACAGGTGTATGCCAGGAAGTTTTGTGCTGCACCTTGTCAAAGGAACTGAATTTCTTGAAGTCTTCCCAAAGTCAGTCAAGGGCAGTCTAATGGCAGCTTGGTTGAGAATGCATCTAGAATTCATTCTCATCAATTAAACAAAAGAGCTAATAATGTTAAAGGTTGGAGCTTTTTACTCAGCTTAATTTGTTCATAATGAGTATTGTAGACTGGAAAAGAAGTCTTGGGTGTTCTTCCTGAAGTGTGTAGCCGATAAGGCTGCTAAGCAGCTGTCTCAATACCAGCTAAAAGAACGGAAATAAAATCCTAACAACTTAGTGCAATATTAGGTTAATAAGACATGGGCCTATAGTTTACAGTTGATTCATTACATTGTCTTGTATAAGATTCAGTGTTTTTTCCTGTTGTCTGTAACATTTGTTGATAATGCTTCTGTAACATTAACTATCTTTCTAAAGCAGTTGTGCAAGAGACCACTAAGGAGGCTTTGAAAGCATTCATTTGAAAATATCCTCAATATGTTACATATTCTTGATAATATTATTAGTTTTCATTGTCTATTATCAGAGGATCATAAAATGGCCTGGGCTGAAAAGGACCACAATGATCATCTAATTTCAACCCCCCTGTTATGTGCAGGGTCACCAACCAGTAGACCAGGCTTCCCAGAGCCACATCCAGCCTGGCCTTGGATGCCTCCAGGGATGGCGCGTCCACTGTTAACAGATACTGAAGTACAGTAAATCTGTGGGCATAACTGCTGTCACTTCTGAACTATTTTCTGGCAAGTGCACATTCAGATGAATGAATGCTTCTGGTGTAAACTAACACTTGGGAACTTAATGTAAGACTGGAAGACTTTTAATAAATGGCTCTAGCTCCTGCTATCCTGGTTGTTAATGAGAAGAAAATCTTTTAATGCTTTCTCGTATGTGGAGGTGTCACAGTGAAGTGTATGGTTAGATATTAAGGCCAAAGTGTCTTTCTTTCTTTAAACAAGCGACAGATATCAAGCTGAGCAATTAATTTAGTTATTACCTTTAGGTTCCTCCACAGGTGGATTCTCCTCTAGTGGGTTCGCTCAGAAAACTGTTCCATCTCAGAAGTCAGGAGGTCAGTGGCAGAAACCCACAAAACCACAAAATACTTCTTGGCAGTCCCAAACTAAATCTAGTGCACAAGCTAAACCTAACTACACAGTGAACTTCAGTGTTATTGGAGGACGAGAAGAAAGGGGAGTCAGAACCCCAAGCTTTGGTAAGTTTTCTGAAAGCATTGCTTATAATGACCTGTATAAAGTTAGATTCACTGTTAGCTTCAAACTTTTGTACCTCAGTCTTTTTCTTTGTTTACATTTAGGTCATACCTAGTGTAAGTTAGTAGAGAGTTTGACAAACCTGGTGCAAAGCTACACTAAAATATCATAGACAAGCTGACAATGGGCCAAATATTTGCAGGTCTGAGCATAAACTAATAAATCTCCTATCCAAAGAGGTAGTAGCTTCATGACCGTAGATTGAGAATATAAATTTGCATAAATGCAGTGAGGAGAAATAATTGATAGAATTGCTTGTAGACAAAAGGTTGCACCCCTTTTTCCTACCTGAAGAATAGTAGGTCATCACTAAGCTTAAACTTACTGGAAATCTGTGTGTTTCAAACATGTGGGAAGGGGAGCAAATAAATTTCTTTTAACCAATTTCTTAAAGTGGTTGTGTTGTCTTTCTGTATTAGCCTTTATGAGGAGTGAGAATAAATCTCAGATGTACTGATAGTGGGATTATGCTGTCTTTTCACTGGCTCACAGGTGAACAAGTACATCCATTAGCTGAAGTGATGTCGATCTTTGTCTGGGAGGAGGTAACAGTGAGAGACTGGTGGAGACAATTTGCAACACAGGAAAATGCAATTAGAGAACAGAAAGTGTAATTAGCAAGCTGTAATAGGCCCTGGAATGTGGTGATTACTTGTAGAATCAGAGAATATCCCAAGTTGGAAGGGAGTCCTAGGGATTGTTGTGTTCAACTCTTGGCAGCTGGGCTATGAGTTCTCAGAATAGGGCCACGAGCCCTCAAAATGCTCCACTGTACCACATCATGCCCTGATATATCCTGCCATGCCCCCAGTATACCACAGCATGCCCTCCAACCTCATTGGTGCCCCACACGCTGCCCCACATGCCTGTTCCAGCACCTTCCAGTGAGCCTAGCACCAGGCCCTGACCAAATACCCCTGAAGCATTCAAGATGCTTGCCCTATCTTGACCCCAAGGCTCTGCAGGAGTAACATTAATGGTTTTAGCAGGTGATTAATACCTCAAAAATAGGTGAACCTCAACATGATAAAGTTCTGAGCAGTGCATTTGGTTGTCCCTGTTCTGAATGAGGATTGTGCTAGGTAATATGCAGAGATCTCACCCAACTTCAATCCTGCAGTTCTCTAGAATGTATGTTCTATAACAGTGCTGTAACTGTTCTTGTTGATGGTTGGTTTGTTATTCTGCGTAAGTTTCAATGTATTTAAATGCATGATACATTTCTGACTAAACCGTTAAGTATTCAGTCATCTGAAAAACTGCAGCACATCTGAAGTTATTTTATAGTGGAAAACAAAACAATTTCCAAACACATGAATAGATAAATGTTCTCCCCCAGATCTACTCAGCTTTTGAGAGAAAAGAACATGCAAGCATTTAGTCATAAATATGCATTGGAGATTACCTGTTTTACTGGACTGAAAACTTGTCAATGACTTTCTATTTCTGTCCTTTTTTTTTTTTTTTTTTTTACCTTGTGGAGTTTATTAAGCAACTGAAGAATATTTATGGTAGTGATAAATGTCATGCAGGTGTATCTGAGTGCAGTGTGTTTGCACAGCTAATGTGTTTTCTCATGTAATTTTATTTAATGTTTTTCTTCTCTCATAGGTCAAAAGCCAAAAGTTTCAGCCAATGACTTTGAGGATCTATTATCTAATCAAGGCTTTTCAGCAAAATCTGATAAAAAGGGGCCAAAAACAATTGCTGAGATGAGGAAACAAGAAATGTCTAAAGATATGGACCCCTTGAAACTGAAGGTTTGTTAAACAGAGATCAACTTAAATGTATATCTAAGATTGTACTTTGAACTACTGAGAACAAAGTAGAAGGATACATTGAAAGACAAAAAAAATTGGTAAAGCAGAGGGGGGAAGCTTTGTTTGTATTTAAATAACTGTGTTTTACTACTGTGTAAGTTGATAAGCATGAACAAGTGTCAACTTGTAATGAAACAGTAGGAACAAGAGCATCAACTGTGTGTAAGTAATACAAGTTCCTCTTTCTTTCAACTGAGCCTGGAAAACTTAAGAATATACCTTGTATGCTTTCTGAAACCAAAACTGTTCATCTTCAGTCTCACAAACATCCCCTTAGCAAAGATGGACTTAACTGGTAACACAAAACTTTTAAGGGACAGGCAAATGAGAATAGCTATCTTGAGGGTGACCACTTGCACTTAACAGTTAGCTAGTGCTGCTTCTGTTGGTAGAGACACACTCCAGAATGAGGGCTGATCGCCTGCTCGGACTTTTTGCTGATAATATTGCATATAATACATTTTTAGTGTTGTTGTGAAGTCAGTGGAGTGAATAGTTGTTCTGAGTCTCGTGGGGATATTTGAAAGAAGTAATCTGCAGAGGTGCAGAGTGTGAAGTAAACGTTAACTATTAGCGTATGTGAACTGAAAGTTCTGTACAAATCAGGTGAGAATATTAGGAAATGAATATTGTGCTCTGACAGGGAGGTAACGTAATCAACAGATGTTTTTAATTACTCCTTTCAATTACCTCTCCATTATCTTGTCATTAATTGTACAGGGTTCTACTTGCACTAAAATATACAGCTATTTCAGTTTATTTTCTAATGATAATTTCTCTACAAAGCTGGTTAACTGCCAGTTAATCTAGTAGCAAATGTATCACTTCTGGCTGCTAATGATCTGGATTCAAGAATGAATGTAGTAAGACAACTGGACTTGGGTGCTGAATACAACAACACTACTGTACTTGGGTCTTAATATTGTGCAGCATGAGAGCTACTTCTCTAAACAGGCAGAGAATGCTTGCATTGTTGCATTCAGTTTTTATGCGTTCTGTTTTTCCCAGATTCTTGAATGGATTGAAGGAAAGGAGAGAAATATCAGAGCATTAATATCTACTCTTCATACAGTGCTTTGGGAAGGGGAAAATAAATGGAAGCCAGTTAGCATGGCAGATCTGGTAACGCCTGAACAAGTGAAGAAATACTACAGGAAAGCGGTGCTTGTAGTTCATCCAGATAAGGTGAGTGTTTTCCTCTGGTGTTTTCTCTGTAGACAGAAGGAACAGAAGCTCTTTTTACTGTGCTATATGAGTCCCTGATGGATGCTGTAGTGTTAGTTCTTGACTGGGATTCCAGATGCTTTTTGCTTCAATTCCATTGTCTTCTGAAGCTGCATCCACGTTGTGCATGATAATCATGTAATCCTGACATGGCACAGAATTCAACAGATAAAATTTTATCAAATACAATATTCCCAGAAGGTAATTAGCCAATGAAATCAGTTGAGCTTGACTGGCTTCTCGCAGATCTAATGATAACTACTAGATTCTGCTTTATTTCTGCCAGCTGTGTTTTTAGGTTTTCTAGGGTGTTTGCCAGTGCATGAAGACCAAGGAAATGCCACAGCAAAACTGTGGAACATCCATGGAACATCCTTACTGGAAATTACTCAGCAACTGAAAAAAAAAAAAAAAGAATGCAATAAACATAATGACATTTCACTTTTCTGAAAGTATTTAGTACATTCTCTTACTGTATCCCAGTACAAGAAGATAGATTCTTGCTCTGAGTTATTGTTCTAGGCTGTGCTTTAGGTATGAAAGGTAAGTGTTAAATAATACCTAGTTTGACTTTTCAAGATTACCTCTAATGGTTTAGGGAGTAGATGTCAAAGTCCTGTGTCTGTTGCATCCAAAACAAAGAAACAGGACATCTTTCTTTCCTTCCCTCTTTTATTTCCTGTTCCTGGCTGCATGGTTTCCTACAACTTAGTGCTATTCTTGGTGCTTTCTGCAAGACCTTTCTGAAGCATTCTTTTTTTGGCCTTATCTTTTCAGACGCCTGGAGTTACAGCAGCACACAAAAGAGTCAATGTGCTACTGCTGGCAAAAGCCAAGCAGCATAAGGGCAGAGACATGGAGAGGTGCCTTTGAGGCTTTACTTCAGTGTTGTAAAGAATCTGTTGCTCTGCATCGTGTGGAACTGCATCTTTAATTACCATGGGGTTGGGCTGGCCCAGAGGCAGGGAATCAGAAGCATGCTGTCTCTGTTCCTTCAAGCATGGAGCCGAACAGACAGGCAGTTATGTGCAGTTAACGCTGACTGCAAACAATTTCAAGTTCAAACGTTACTGTATGATACCACTAGGGCTGTCAGGAAGCTATTTTGAAAATGGCTGGGTTTTTTTTTTTTGAGCTGTTAGCTGAAACGTTTTCTAAGCTGTTCTTCTCATAAATAATTTTTAAGTCTTAATTACTTACAGAGTACGCTAGAGTTTGAAGTAATGTTAGGAAAACAAGGACACATGTAGCAAAATTTGGGTAAAAGAAGGCAGTGCTCTGTGCCTGAACATGGTACTCACACTGTAGTCTAATGTTTGCTATACAAGTAAACAACAAAACAAGTAAATAACAAAAAGAAAGGTTGAGATGCTTCACAAACCACAAAATTCCTTTATGCTTTATGCTTTTAATGTTCTTTTTGTTCTCAGGCGACAGGACAACCTTACGAGCAGTATGCCAAAATGATCTTCATGGAATTGAGCGATGCGTGGTCGGAATTTGAAAACCAGGGGTCCAAGTCCCTCTTCTAAAGTTCATCTTTTTCAAACTACTTCCAAAAACTGGAGCTGAGCATTGATGTGACTTGCTTGCCTATGGTTTATGAAGTGCTTTTCCATGATTTCAGCACAGTTTGCAGTGCACACTTAAATGTGATGATGTATTTTGTAAGACATAAGTACAAAGCATTACGTAGATGCATTAAGAAAACAACTGCTTAGTACTTGAAGAAATCATGGCCTGGGGATAAACATTTTGTTTCAGATTTTATATATAGCAAAACGGATTTTTTCCATGGTCTCTGGTACACGCGGATCAATTCTAAATCATTCCAATTCTATTGATCTTTGCTTTACCTTACTCTACCACACTTTCATTTATTTTTTCAGTAGTTTTGTGATTCAGTTTTGTTGTTTTGTGCCTGTCGCCTTATTTGAAGTGCTTTAGTTATCAACAGTGAATTTCTTTGGCTTGTTTCAAATCTGAAGGTGTATATTTTCATCTGTATTGTATGTAATCAATCTGATAATCATTCTGTAAATATTTTCTGACAATACCTTCTTCTTTACAATAAATTAATAGGTTAGCCAAAAAGACCTCAATTGTGAGGAAAGTCAACCAGGGTTGTTCTTGATGTTTTTTTTTTTATTATTCTTATTTTTTAAATTATTCTTTATGAATCTAGAAACAAATCTTGGCTTTAAAGTCTGCATGTTCTTGCTATTTTGTTATTTATTATGAACCTTTGGAAGGCATTGCTCTTACCAGTGCTTATTTTACTAGTTCTTTAAATATCGTTTTCTTCTGATTTCAGTGGAGCATGCCTTCCATTGGACTTAAAATGCTCTGATAGTAATGTTTTTTCAAGACTTGATGTGGAAGCACAAAATATTTTGCTCTGCTTTGATTTCTTATGAGAAAGATACATTACTTGTTATCACGTAGAGAGTATTTCGAACTTTGCTGCATGTCTGAATTTCTGTGTTTCTGAGATATGCATGACATCAGTGTATGTGCAAACAGGGATATATTGGTGGTGTATTTCTGCTCATCCCCCTTCCATGCACCAGCTAGTACAAGATGAGCTAGTACAACTTGAGAACAGAACTTGCCATGTTTTTTCATCTGTATTCAGATAGCAGCTATTCACTTGATCTGGGGTAGATGAATACAATTGACCAATGACTGTTATGCTCCATAGCATAACAAAATGCAATCCTCAAATCAAGTTTGAAAATGTCAAAAATCAGTATTGTTGTATTAAAGCTTGGTAGCAGTCTCTTGAAACAGTGTAGTTTGGCATTCAAATGGTAAAAAAAAAATTTTAATCTTGACATTTTGTCTGGTTTTCATGCTTAACTGAGAGGGACGCTGTAACAACCAAAGGTAAAATCAGCTGAGCAGCATCTGAACAGGAAAAAAGAATACACTAATGCCACCTGGAGAGTGTCTTGGATGCAGTTTTCCACTGCCAAGCCAGTGTACACAATATTTTTTTACGCAGTGCAGTGTACAATTCAGTCTCTAAGCTCTGACACATTTAACTACTTACCCAGCCTTTCATCAACAGCGTATGTGTATTTGCGTATCTATTCAGCTGCTGTAATTGTTTTTCAAGTTGGACACCTGCAATGGATCAGGAAGGTTATATGTTATTCAGAGTAACAGTTGTAGTTCAGCTGCAGTTTTGAAGCAGCCAGAAAGCAAGAAATCTGATGAGATTTAGGATTTTTTTTTTTCCCCCTTGGGACACTTCAGCTTTCTACAATAATGATCTGCATCATTAGAAATCAAAGGCTTGTGGCAGGATAAATGTCAGAGGCCTGCATGGTTCTTTACAGTTCTAAGATAAACTATCTGTAGTAATAAGTTTAAAAACAGACATGTAATGACTGGAGTACTGTGGAGCTGAGAGAAAATCTTTCTGAAGAGCTGCTTTCTCATAAGAAAAAAAAATGTGAAGTCTACTTTAAATGTCCATATCACTTTCAACACATACAAGAAACTAGACTGAGACATTTTTGGGCTCTTCTTGAACTGTGTACAATTATTAAAAAACAAACAAAAAAACCTGAAGTTTTGGAGGAAAATATCTTCCTCTATTTGCTTGGTAGTGTTTTTTGTATGGTAGCCACATTTCTCTGGTTTTCTTTGTCCACTCTTGTTTGGAAAAGCTTTCTTGAACATCAGAGAAGAACCTTAGGATTTCAAGTGAGCAGGGAAAAATGTGTGAATGTTTTATATGGAACTGAAGATTTCTGCAAATTGATTTCCCCCTTTTAAATATCATGGAAACTCATGCAATTTGGCTCTTGGAATAATCCACAGCCATTTGTACAGGAACGCTTAAATTACAGCTTACTCATCTCTGGCCTTTGGTGAAGGAGCTGTCTGGTTTATCTATCCTGCTCCTTTCTGCTTCATTTCTAGGGAGAGGAATGTGGGAGAGGCTCAGAGTTCAGTAAACTTTTGAAGTTAAGATTTTACTGAAATGTGGCTCTTATGCATCCTTATATTCAACTCAGTTAAGTGACACAGTTAAAAAGTAAATCAAAATATTTAAATTGTCAAGACTTAAGTGATGAATGCAGTAAAATGAAATAGTGTTTTCAGTATAAGATAAAGGAGAAGGAAGACCATAAAAGGAGCCTCGTAGTTGAAGCCTAAACTAAATTTTCTGAATTATGTGAATGTGGGAAGAAGGAACTTAAATTGTATGTATGCTTACACTGGCTCCTGATACTAGTCTTAAATGAGAAGATAATTTGGAAGAAGGATATCTAGTTCTTTTTTTAATTTGTCTTAAAGCAGTAATAAAAAATGGTTAGATAAAAAAAAAAAAAAAAGCTCAGACTGGGAATGAGGGTTTTTCCCTTCCTCATGCTCCTTGTTTATTGAGAGCTGTATGGGGTGCATCTTGAAAGCTAGGTTTTTTGTCTGCTGCTGCTGATTACAAAGTTTGAGGTAAATCCTGGTATTGTGGGGTATGCTGAAGTTATAACCCTGTATTGTGAAGCATCTCCTGAATTCTTCCAGCAGGTCCTGATGCCTTCTGGCCCATGTTTGTTGTTACTTCACGATGACAGACTGTTGATGCAGTTCATTCTTTGCAGTCTTCAATGCAGCAGAAATTAAAGGAAGAATAGAGAAGGATGCCTGGGCTATAACTATACTGTATCACAGATGTTCTCTAATTCTCTGACCTGTCCCTACTGAACGCTGGTAAGGACAGGTCTAGGACAGTAGGTCTGTTGCCTGCAGTTCCAATCCTTTCAGAAGTGCTCCTGACTGGTTATGGGCAGGTGGCAGTAACCAGGTGCTTGGGTTCTATGAAGTAGGGTAGATTTCCACTAGTTATTTCCGAATTAAGTTGCTTATATTACATTGTTGTTAGGTCTGGAGAGTCTGATAACTTCTCTTTTAGAACAGAAATCTGCAAAGAAGAGAGTTGGCGTGAAGAGTGCATGTGGTTAGGATCTGCCAAATGGAGAAGAGTAACATTTTGTCCATGTTGGTGTCTTTAACGTTGTGCATGCCTGTCCTGTGCTTTCTAGTGCTGTCACATTTCCTTGAACTTAACAGCAGGGAAGAGAAATGAAAGCAAGCAGTTAAGCATTTACATTCCTATTAAAATCACAGAGTTGAGCTCAGCGTTGTGAGTGGATATGAATTTCCAGGCATCGAGTCTGGGAGGAGAAGTTCTGCTCGTTGTTATCACTTCCTTCAGCACTGTTGTAGCCTCTCCATTCTGTATGTGTTGATTAAGAACATTTCCTTGAAACAGTGGCAAAGTCTTTGGCATTGCGCCCATGAAGGTAATTAGTGTGCATGGAAAAATGCCTTGTTTTACCTCCGTTTTCATGTTGATTGTAGAAAGTCCTTCTAAAGCTGTTTGCCAAGCACAAAGGAACAGCTCCTTCCTGAATGCGGGCCATCTCAAAGCTGCATGCAAGGGATTAACATTTTGCACGAACCAAAGCAGAGGTTGAGCGTAACTGCAATCTCAGCTGCCCTTTGGGATTGCTGGGCTGCACGGAGCACTCAGCTCCCACGGCCAGCCTGCAGTTTCTCAGCAGTGTCAATACGCCTCAGTGGTTATTGGCCATCACTTCTCTTTGCTGCTCACAAGAAATTTTCAGGGGATACCTAACTGTGGAACTTTGTTGCTCCTTAGCTCTTTGTCTTAACAGTTGCAATGAATGCTTTGTAAATAGATTCAGAATAGTTCTGTACAGTTGCCTGTGCTCTGAATCTGGCATTTTCTGTCAAGAACTTGCAGGTGGTTGACCTGCAGAAGCTGTTGAAGGAATGTATGATTTCCCATCACCTGAGTCTGTCTCTGGTGCAGAGCAGTTCCAGCTACCAGCATGTGCTGACTGGGAGTAAGGACGGACTAAGCTGAGGTGTGGTTCTCATCTTGGGGAATCTCAGTGTTCGTTTGCTCTATTCGGGTGAGCTCATTATTGGTAGCTGCAGCTTAGACTGCATCAAACTTCAGACATACACTCCAGAAATTTTCAGTCATTTTTATGAAGGATACATTGTGACACAGAAGCTTTTATTACCAAAAGAGGATTGAGAGGCATTGTGAGAACTCCTGAAACTCTTTAGTGGAATGTACTGTATTTTTGCAGTGTAGACTCCTAGAAGCATTTGTCACCTCTCTGTGAGGACTTAGGTCCTTGCTGTAGTTACGTGTACTTGTGATTGTACTTTCTATACCTGTGATTTTTCCGGCTTGGGTTGTGTGGAAGGACAGAACAGATACTGAAGTCCTTTTTGTTTTGGCATCTTTCAGGAAATGCAATGTACTTTTGCTACTAGTAAAATGAAAATCTATATACCTGTATGTATATAAAGGCAATATAATCAAATTAAACATTGTTGAAAAATAGATTTGATGTTTGGCACAACGTTCTTGAACAGAATATTTTGCTTTGAAATGTATTATGACTTAATCAGTGATCAATTAAAACAAACAAAGTGATTTGACTTGTTTCATTCTTTAGCAAAAGAGGAATGTCATCTTCAGAAGGGTTTTCTCTCTCCTGATAGAGAGGAGGTCACTGCAGCATCTCCTGCGGTATGACTGTGTCTGAGCTGGGCTGTGACAAGGTGCCCATGCAGTGCTGCTGAGGGGAGCTCTTGCATAGGCACAGCAGCAATTGGAGGGGACCAGGAACAAAGGGACAAGGCTCAGGCTGAAGAGAGGAATGGAGCAGCATGCGGGAAGGGAGGTGGGATGGGTGGGATGTGGTGAAGCAGTGTGGATGGCAGGAATACTGGAGAAGGGAGAACTGAGCTAGCACAGTACTAGCAGGTTCCCAGAAGCCTGCCATAGTGCTCATCATCAGGACGAAAATGTGGGGTCTTTCATAATTAAGAAGAAATCATTTGGTTGCATTGAGAAAGTTTATATTAAGAAAACAGAACAAAAGCCAGAGTCAAGGTGGATTATCATAGGATTTCTTCAAGGAGAAAGCTGGACAACAGGGAGGGTATTGGAGGGTACAGGACATGACTGAAAGAGGATGGATGGGGTGGAAGTAAGTTCCAGACATGTAAAGTGGAGGAGACTATAGAATGATGCTGATATCTGACCTAGGATGAAGAGGAAAGGAGAATTGCAGAGTATAGGGTAAGGAAAAAGAAGTGTTGAAAAGCAAGCAGAAAAGCATTTGGTAAGGCCCATTATTGGTGATATTGCTCATATTCTGCTTACTACTTTCAACAGTCTGCTGAGTTTGTAGGAATTCAAGCCAGGTCTTGTAGGGCTTTTTCACTGAGCAATCTTCCCCTGCTTTCCATAGAACACGCTGCTACTTCCCAAATGTTTCAGTATCTTTACAAGTTGAGAACAGTGATGTGTTCTTTACTGATACAGCGCTGATGGTTAAGGTAGCAAGTTGCTTCATTCTCTACATACAGATGCACTAACAGTATTTAGGAAAGCTGCATTAGTAAAGCAATCCATGCCAGATGGAAATCCTGTAGTGTCAGGCTTAGGGTGGATTGTGGAGCAACAGCATGTCCATACATTTAATACCAAACAGACAATGGAAGTGCATGAGCAAATAACATTAAAACAAGGTACACTGCTGTAGTGTGGTATGCAGTGCAGCCTGCTGCAGTCTGAGTCAGAGCATTCCAAATCTACACCACAGGCCCCTTTCTGACCCTGACTCAGCCTTCCTTGAAGGCCAGAGGAAGGCTTCTGGCAGATGTTTAGCTCCTTTTTGGCAGAACTGAACAAAAAGCTCTGTGGGAAATGGACTGTGTAAATATGCACAGGCCTCTACTGGCAAGATAACTTTTAATATAAACTGCAAGAGATTCTTCCTGTGTCAGCCTCACCACAATCTCTGGTAAGGTGTTGAAACAGCTAATCCTGAGAGTACAATTCCAGGCATATGAAGGACAAGAAAATCATCAGGAGTAGTCCGCATGGATTCACAAAGGGAAAGCCATGCCTGACCTGCACGATAAGCTTCTGTAAAGTGCCCACCCTGATGGGTGAGGGGGGAGCAGTGACTGTTGTGAAGGCCTTACTGGAGTCCAGGTAGACAGTGCTCCTCGTAAGATCCTCACAGAGAAGTTGCTGAAGTGTGGGGTGAATGAGCAGACAGCAAGGAGGGTCAAAATCCAGGTGCACTGTGTGACCCAGAGGGTAGTGGTAAGTGGTGCAAAACTTCGTAGGAGACCAGTAAAGGGACACACTGGAACAGGCCCAACTGTATGAATGGGTGTGAAAATGACCAAGGAGCTGGGGCACCCTTCCATTGAGGAAAGGCTGTGGGAGCTGGGGCTGCCCAGCCTGCAGAAGAGGAGGTTTAAAGGGATCTTACCGATGTGTGTGAATGTCTGAAGGGAGAATGCAAAGAGGACAGAGCCAGGTTCTGCTGAGTGGTGCGTGCCTAGTGCCAGGACAAGAGGCAGTGAGCGCAGACTAGAACACAGGAGGTTCCCTATGAACATTAGGCAGCACTTTTCTGCTGTGCAGATAGCAAAGCACTGGCATAGGTTGCCCAGAGAGGTGATGGAGTCTTCTCCTTGGACGTGGTTCCTGGGCAACCTCCTCTGGGTGTCTCTGATAGAAACGGGGAGGTTTAACAGATATCCTCCAGAGATCCCTCTCAGTTCAGCTTGTCTGATGTCTCTTGTCATCCCTAAGACAGGGATGACAGTCTTCCAGGAGTGGCCTCTGCTCCTAAACAAAGTTTGGGATGCAAACAAAATAACAGTTGGGATGTTGTCTGGTCTGTAATGCTAATAGCAGTCCAGAAAATCAGCAATTTTGGGGCTCACATGAATAAGCCTATCATCAGTCACTGATCAGTGACTTAGGCTTATTCATGTGAGCCCCAAAATTGCCAATTTTCTTTTTCAGAGAGAGCGGTGATGCACTGGACCAGGCTGCCAAGGGAGTCACCTTCCTGGAGATGTTCAAGAACCGTGTAGATGTGGCATTGAAGGACATGGTTAGCAGACATTATAGTGCCATTGTTCCTATGCTCCATCATGAATGCCACAAAATTCATCCTCTCAGAATGTGAAGTACTTAACTGCTGAATTAAGTTCTGTCTGGGAAAAGTTCCTGTCTCAAGAAGGACACCAGTTAGTAAGATCTTTTTTTCCATGTTTGCCTTTATGCAAGAAGGTGTAAAAGTTACAGCAGCTCATGGGAAGTTGATATCAACTAGGCCTTAAAAGCTAAATTTGAGATTTACTTTCAGGAACGGATGGAAAATGCATCATTAATGTGATCAAAAAATCTTGTGTACGGTAAATAAAATTAGAGGAACTTCAACTTCTAATTCTGTTGCTGTGAAGTGTAACGTAGCTGCTTCTACTGAGAAATGATAAACGCTCTTCTTTAATTTCAGTTCTGTGCAAACAGTATTAGAAGATTACTCTTGATGCTGGAAGAACAGCAGGTGCTAGAAGACGAGCATTGGCTGGAAAAAATCTGCTACCGTGATCCATAATGATATTTAATACTTACTTTTCACTACAAAGAGATTGACATGCAAATGTATATCCCAAAGGCTTTTTTTTCCTAGCACAAGTGTTTGCTATTTGTTCAGAAGTGTACAAGGAAGGATTTGGAAAAAGACTGTCTCGTCTGAGAATCTGAAAGTCAGCTTCAGGCCCAGAGAGAACTGGGGGGGAGAATATTTATATCCCTTCATCGGACCATTTACAGGAAAAGGCCTGCACTCCCTCACAGCTCCTGCCTGCATCCAGCACCTGGCTCTCCTCTTGAAGATACCTCAAGGCTCACCACCAAACTTCTCCTGGAGCCTGCTTAGGAGAGCTTGGAGAAGTGGTGTGTGGCTGAGAGGAAGCATGACAAAGCATCTGCAGGCAGTCGTGCATACCAGCAGCGCTGCTGCAGCCCTGTGTAAGCCTGGGTGCACCCTGGCTTCATGTGTGGGCATGGCTTTGCTTCTCAGATGCCTCTCCAGCATGAGAAAAGGAAGAAATGGAAGGACCTGAAGCTTCAGAGCAAAAAGCTTACCCCAAGAGGAATTATGTTTCCCTTCCAGTACTAGGGAACTGACCAACAGCTTGCCTTAGCCCTTTCTCTTTGCTGCTCACTGGTGTCCTGTGTACTTTGCCAGGAAAAACGCAGCATTGATGACAAATAATTTCCTCCTTCTTCTTGGGTACAGCTAAGATTATCTTCATATGCTTCAACTCCATACTTGCTAATAAGTACACTTCCTTCTCTCCTGTAGGTCCATGAGGTTAACATAAATGGTTAGGTTTGCTGTATCTTTGCATATAGCATGACTTCTTAGGAAGAGAGAACAAGATAAACAACACTTAAGCTAAAGAAGGTGTGCAATAGTGCAATGAAAAGAAGTTCAAAACCACAGGACAAAGAGCAGGCCCCTGGCCACAAGGCAGTGTTACTGTCACATAGGTCAAATGGGACATGATTCCCTGATCCTAGGGTGAATCAGAGCTCAAGTTGTAGATATGGCTGAAATCAAGCCAAATCAAGCTACATTCAGAGCCTGACAAACTCTCAGGACTAGTGTGGTAAATCACTGTTTTAAAGCTCAGGGCCTGTTGAAAGAGTGGGTGAGCCCTGGTGCAGGTGTGAGGCAGAGAAGGGTTTGAGGGTCTCTAAGGCGTTAGCAGTGGGCTCTCCTCCTGGGAGACAAGTCAGAATTTTGTGTTTTACACTTCCCCTTTCTGCTGAAGAGCAGAATAAATATTGTAGGGCTACAAAGATACAGCTGAGCTGCCCAAATAATCCTCTAATAAATTATGTAACAAGAAAATGAATTCAGTAGATCAGCTGTTTACACTGCACTATAACTGATCCCTAGCAAATAACATTCATTTAAGCATCTTTCCTGTTCTCATATTTGCTGAAATGGACTTTTCATCCCTCCAGGCATTGAGGATAAGGTAGCATGAGCTCTTCCTTCTCCTCTCCTTGCAACATCTGCAGAGTCACCAGGACTAGGTGCATACTGATGGCTGGTTAAACCACGGGGCTTTGCATAAGCCTGAGGGGCTGCATCTGTGCAGAGTGGCACTGGAAGTGCAGAAATGCCTTTGTGCAGAACTGACACCTCTACTGCTGCTTTGGGCACACTCACATCTGGCACAGAGTTAGCTCAGCAACTTGCAGGGAGTACTGCTTGCAGCAGTGTGTTCCAGGACTTGCTGGTACTGCAGCAGAAGTGGGGCAGTGTGCAGAAGCTGGGTACCACTCACCGAGTGGGCTCCCAGAGCCCTGAACCTGAGGCATGCATTGCAGATGCGCAGTGTGTGGCCCTGGTAGCCTGCACTCTGTTCACCTAGCCCTAGCTCCACTTACCTGGCAGAGCTCAGAGCATTTGCTCCGGTGGCACCAGCACAGAGCAGACCTTGATGTTCTTGGAAAATTCGCTAGTATAATCTGTGACAACAGCAGCATTGGCACAGGAACAACTAACCTTGCAAACACTGTTTCAGTAGGTCAGCACCAGG